AACTTGATAGATAAGGTAGATATCAACTCAAGAACAATAGATATCAACAGAAGGTATAAGTTAGGACAGAACATATTGTTAGTGGATGGTGGGCTCATACAAAATTATAGCTAAGCAAACTCACTGCATTTATATAAAATAATATGTAAAATCAATTTTAAAGAAAGGCTAAGGTTGAGATAGGTAGAGAAATAATTGATGTTTGTAGAAAGAAGATTCACAAATAGAAAAACCTGGGTGCGCATCACACAACTTTTACTTACCGCTCTACTAAGAAAGCAATTCTTGTCTGGCAAAATTGGATTATTACAAGTTTTTGAAGCTCATTTTTAATTTAGCTAAACTTTAAACAACATATTTTTTTTATTTCGGCCATCTTCATCAATACAAAAGCTCATTAGGACCGTCGCAATAACATAAACCCTATTTATAATATCGATTTTAGCCTATACACTCTATTTATAATATCGATTGTAGCCTATACACCCTATTTATAATATCGATTGTAGCCTATACACCCTATTTATAATATCGATTGTAGCCTATAAACCCTATTTATAATAGCGATTGTAGCCTATAAACCCTATCTATAATATCGATTGTAGCCTATAAATCCTATTTATAATATCGATTGTAGCCTGAAAAACCTTAGAAGCAACTTCATCAGCCTATTTGAATAAGATGACTCCAGTATCTGAGCTCTATAGGCTGAGAGAGATTTGAAAGTTACCAAATCTTTATCACTCTTTACGTGTATTTAAATTCTTATTTTTTATCAGCGGAAAACATACCAAAATACAGTTACTTGCTTTTAAATATAGCATAGCTAGGTCAAATGTCGTCATACTAAATGGAAGTGAATACTCTTGTGATTTCACAAAGGAAATTTTTTTAAAAATAAATCTACGATGTATACCTAATTATTAATTTGAATTATTAAACTACGGTAAATGTATTTAAGGTTATAAGCATATGTTATACACATTCATGAAATATTCTTATATTTCACATTTTCTTTTTCATAATATTCTTTTTCTTTCACACAAGTACAATGAAATAGTTTTTTAAACAATGTCTTTGGCTTTCGGTAGATTTTAAATACTTTTTTTATCAAACTTTAAAAAAAATAAAAATTTTACATTTCGTAACTAAATTTCATTTAATTTCCTCGCAAACATGTTGTTTTCATTAAAGAATGTTAGTTTTCACAAATTATTATTTATAATTTTTTCATCACTCTCCATTACCTTCAACGACTTTCTATATTAGATATTGTTTTTCTTCTACAATTCTCCGCTTACCGACGATATATTATACGTATACTTTTGTCCAGTATTTCCAGGGATTCATTTTTGACTTAAATGAATATTTTCCCTTTTTTCTCCAGTTTCCAATAATCAAATTCTTTTATACTTTATATTTGCCCATTTTTTACAGTTACTGTCAATCGGAGAGAGGTAATTTTTAAAAATAAACCAAATTAAAGGTACTTAAGAGGAAGACGTATATGAACATTGGGAATTTAAGCCCTGTAAAGTGACATCAATAGGTATAACACCTAAATGATATTAAAGACCAATTAATTATACAATGATACACCGAGTTTAATCAAAATAGTTAGAGCTGTTTAAGAATAAATTAAATTAAAATCGAAGATACAAATCGCGTTTCCTATAAATCGCTTTTAGCGGAAAATTCGCTATAACGTCCATTACATATACCTACCTTAAATACACAATGTTAGTTTCGAACAACTGGTCGTTTTTAAGCTAGGCTGTTCATATTGACACAGACACACACGTACATATTATTTCATGAGACTTGGTTATTCGGACTTTGGAGGCCTGGAAACATGTATTTGTTATTTTGTTGATAATTTGAGTTCTAAACTTTTCACGATAGCAATATTTTCATTTATTGATATATTCCATATATTTGTTAAAAGAAGGAGGAACAAAGAAGAAAGGATTTGGCAAAGTAAATTGCCCTACGAGAGAGAGCACGAACATTAAATTCTATTTAAAATGAAATGTTTTTATATATATATATATATATATATATATATATAGCTTAAATAGCTCAAATTCTCCCTGAATATGTCATTACAACGACTAATTAAATGAAGGAGGCAGTGAAATAAAATTGAGGTTGAGGATCGAGGACCTTCCTAATGATGATGGCCGTTGAGAAGAGCTCCCACAATGGCCGGCTGAAACTACCTCCATGCAATCAGCGGAACGAATTATATTTAAAATTTCAAGATGAATTCTATTCAATAATGTCATGCACTGAACAGTTTATAAAGTCATTCAAAATAAATATGATTTATACCTCATAGTGGAGAAATATGAATAAATACTATAAACTCCACGGACTTTTTTGGGGGAGAGTCCGCCCCCCCCTCCCTGACCAGAATGGTAAACCTGCGCCTACGGCGGTGGCTAAATGATTACCTCTGCGCGCGCTTATGTCTAATGTAAAAGTGTACCTACTTTAGGTCTTACAAGGTACGTTTAATATCATTAGGGAGATTTTGAACAGCAATCTGGTCACCTTGGAGACAGTCTGTGTATTTTTAGGTAGCTTAACTAAATAACCATTCACTCGGCTAACTTTACATCAGTACAATAATCGTAGCTTTATTTAAGACACGGAGTGATTAATAAACTGTGTTCCAATCAGCTTATTCCCCTCATTGCCTACACGAGGTACTTACTTATCTTGTATCGAAGTTGGCCCAGAAAGCATATGACAAAACCACTGGTCCTGCCCAATTCAACACCACCAATTCGCAGGCGCCAAACTCGAAGAGGCTTGTCAGTTCTTAGGAAGGCTTATGGTTGTTGATATCGGCCTCCAAACTTTTGAAATGGAATACGTTCTGAGAAAATGATCTTCAAAATGACTTTATTATCAGCTTCATAACAATGTTGGCTACACTGCACTAGACGGCAATGAAATTACTGCACTATCCAGAATAGTACTTCGAATTTCGCTTTATATCAGTGAAAATCCAAACACGTAAATATGTCTCAATCGAGATTGTAATGACAAAGCTAAGGTAGGGGAGATGACGAAGTTGGCACAGAGCTGAGGTAGGGGAGATGACGAAGGTGGCACAGAGCTGAGGTAGGGGAGATGACGAAGGTGGCACAGAGCTGAGGTAGGGGAGATGACGAAGGTGGCACAGAGCTGAGGTAGGGGAGATGACGAAGGTGGCACAGAGCTGAGGTAGGGGAGATGACGAAGGTGGCACAGAGCTGAGGTAGGGGAGATGACGAAGGTGGCACAGAGCTGAGGTAGGGGAGATGACGAAGGTGGCACAGAGCTGAGGTAGGGGAGATGACGAAGGTGGCACAGAGCTGAGGTAGGGGAGATGACGAAGGTAGCACAGAGCTGAGGTAGGGGAGATGACGAAGGTGGCACAGAGCGACGAGGAAGATAAGAGATACCGCGAGGGACCTCTAGCAGCACTCCAGAGTTCTTATCTTCTCCACTCAGCGGTCCCTGTTGTCATCTGATTGTGTAGTTCGTACACGGGCTGATTAACAGGTCCCTTCCGGATCATCCGCTACCTGCTAGCGAAGTGACACCTTTCGATGGGCTATGCCCTTGGAAGCAGCCAGCTCTGAGGGCGCTCCAGCAGAGGACGGCTTCGCAACCCTCCCCCACAATACAATAATAGCTAAATGGATGATGTAACATGTTGCGACGGATTTCCCATGTACGAACAAGAAAATAAAAACATTAGTTGCTCTGGCCCGGAAGACTAATATGGACCCGAAAAAATATTTTTAACAAACATTAATTAATTCTTGAGATCCCGCATTCTATTGCAATAGTATCTTGCAATAGTAACTACTTCTCAACAACAAATTAACTGTCGAAAATAACATGATACTATGTTGTTCTTAAATATTACCTTGCATCACCTTGAAGGGAGAATAAACGAAATAGGGTTAGCATCTACGGAAGATTAAGAACCTTTGAACTATATACTCATGGAAGGATTTAGTGCTTCCTGAAGAAGACAATTTTACCGAAGTTTTAAGTTTTACTGAAGTGTTACCAAAGTGATCGTCGAAAATCTTTAACTAGTTCAACTAAACATGAACCTTCCGTTCGTGTTTGTCAGGATCTTCAACATCTGAAATAAACGGTAAATCTTTAACTGGTTAATAAAAGATATTAAAAAGGAAAACGTTGGTCATAGAGAGATGTTTGTGTATGATCACAAATCTCATTGGCTAGCAGGATAACCTTTCAGACAGTTGGAAAGCATCTTTCTATATAATGTAGAATGAAGAACATGCACAACGAATCCACATGATGGGCTTACTCAAGTAATAGAAGAAAAGAGAAATATGGTAACAATCTCTGCGATATTATTAAATTGTTATTGTGACTATAAGATATAGACAAGTGGCCAGTCCAGTGAAGAAAGAAACAGTGTGTTGTGCTCTGGCGAAAGGAAGAAAGGCAGGTATGTAAATAGTATTGATATTGGAATTGACCAACATCCCAATGGAATTGAAATGGAATTGACCAACATCCCAATGGAATTGAAATGGAATTGACCAACATCCCAATGGAATTGAAATGGAATTGACCAACATCCCAATGGAATTGAAATGGAATTGACCAACATCCCAATGGAATTGAAATGGAATTGACCAACATCCCAATGGAATTGAAATGGAATTGACCAACATCCCAATGGAATTGAAATGGAATTGACCAACATCCCAATGGAATTGAAATGGAATTGACCAACATCCCAATGGAATTGAAATGGAATTGACCAACATCCCAATGGAATTGAAATGGAATTGACCAACGTGGTCATGAAGACGAAGGATTACATAGCCTTGATGTTCCTATACAAGAAAGTTAAAATGGAAGGATTTGAAATAATTAAAAATAAAAAACCTGGTAACTTTGCTTAAATATAAATGGCGTGTATGCTCAAGAATTACTCACTACGCACTACTACTACTCACTTGCTATGTTGGCCGGTCAAACGACTCGAGGTTCCAGGGCACTGGCTGGCCCCACCTGCCCAAACAGAGAAATCAACTATTAATAAAGTTAGGATATATAATCAAGTACAATTAATACAATATTATAATCAAGTACAATTAATATAATATTATAATGAAGTATAACTTTATTATCAAATGGGAGATTGGAGTTGTGATTTGGGCTGAGTGCTGTATTGTCATTGGCAGCTAATAGTAAATGATTTCCACAACAGCTGCCTCATCCGGCTCGAAGGGCGTTAAAAGTAGAAGATTATAATCACAAAATTAAGGGCAACGACAAAGAGAAAATTTATGGCGAATTAAAGTTGGCAAAATAATAAGCAGTGGCTTTGTTGGACACGGCATTAGAACAAATTTAATTTATCCATGTACTATTCTCGCCAATTCTTCGCTTCCACCTCAGGGATGCTTTCCTGTCGTACTCTTCATGTTAATGTGCTATCGTGCTAAAGGAGTAGAATTGATCTAAAGAGAAGTCAGTTGGCAGCCTGCTAACCTACCTTTCACTGATTAGCAATGACTTGCCTTTCACTGATTGATTTTAATGTTTGATATTTAATTCGAATAATAGCTACTAACCAAGGCGTGGCAACTCTAAATTTAAATTTAAATTGAAACAATTTTGAATATTATTCACGAATATCATCGGATTTTCCGTAATTAAGAAAAACAGGACATTTTTCTATGCCCTCTAGGGTTTTCTGAATATCTTTCACATTCTTTCCTCATATACTGATTTACTTCAAACAAAAATATTAATTACTATAACTATCTCTAACGTTTACGAAATTAGCACAAGTTTTAACAGATCGTGTTAAAGAATAATCTGTAAGCTGACATATTTAATAGACAAATCTCCCATGCCTGGAATCTAACATTATTAGCGTTGGTTGCCAGAATTCTGCTAATGATTTCCATGGCAATGTCTTACAATACAAAAATTACACAAAGCGACACAAAATATGCCGACAGGGCCTTCTAATTATTTCTTTTCCTGATATATCGTAATAAGACAAATTATTGATATTATTTGAAATCGATTCCCGAAGACCCGTTCACAGCCTCAACAAGTGGCAGGTCTCTTGGCGTACCGAGCTCTGCTGGAAGAAGCTACAATATGCTTTTCAAGATTTTGATTAAATTCGTTATTTCAATGTAAAAAACGAAGTAACTAACTAACTTATACTAGTATATATTACAGATTTTCAATATTACGTAGGTAATTTCTTCATTCTTTAAAATTGTTTCCAGACAATCTTCGGTTATGCTTCGCCTATTTTGTTTCAATCTTCGTGATGACCGATATATAACCTGTTATACTTGTCACAGATGGATCACCAAAGCCATTATTAAACATTTCAATTACCAAATATCCATTCCCAAGACCTTGTGCCTCGTAAGAAATGAATGGTTCGTCGACCAAGCTTCCGTTTATCTTCTATAAAGCCAGGGCACGCTCATGCTCTCACCTGACCAATCCACTCGTTGATGTAGCCCGTTTTTAATCAATTGAGCTTTGAACTTTTAAATATGGGTCCACGGACTAGGAAATAGATTGAAGAGAAGATTGGTCGGCAAGTTCAGTAAAAAAATGTTAAAATAAATAAATTGTCTTTATTATTATTTTTTCCACTTCCAGATAATGAGAGTTTTACTTTATGAGGTTCCATGACTGTTTGGTATCTTGTGGACTACATATATGTGAGTAGGGCGTTCAATTCTACGTCGCGTTCTCCAGACTTGCTGGAGGGGCCCCCTCGTGGCATTGCAAGAGGTTCGTTGCCAGGAGACGGATCCATAAAGGAAGATAAGTACACTTTTTGGTACGGAGGAAGCGGAAATCATTGTTCAGATACCGGTTTACTTATTAGGAATAGATTTCTATCCGCTTTGAGGGACATGCAATTCTTTAGTGATAGGATTTCGGTGCTCATATTCCAGGGGCGTTAATTTAAAAACGTGTTTAAAAACATACACAGTCCGACCGAAGAGAGTGATGACGTAGGCAAATGCAAATTTTATGATAAACTGGAGTGGGTTTATGATACAACTACCGCGAAGCTGCATGAAAATAATTTTAGGGGACGCTAACCAAAAGGTGGGAAGGGAAGAAAATGATTTTCTCACGATTAGTAAAGAAAGCTTGCACAATCATAGTAATCATAATGGAATTCCACTAATACATTTTGCCTTTTTGAGAAACCTAATAATTAAAAGTACTAGGTTTAAACAGAAGGATATTTACAAATATACTTGGATATCACCGGATTCGCAAACACGAACTCATATAGATCACATCTTGATACAACATAGGTGGAAAAATAGTATACTCAATGTAACATCTTATACCGGAGCAGAATGTGGATCAGATCATGAATCAGTAATCGCGAATCTTCGAAAAAAAAACATAATGTAAAAAAGAATAAAGAAAACCGTTTCGATTCCGAGAATTTTAATTTGGAAAAATTAAAAAAACTTTCAGTAACCACCCTACTTGAGTGATAACTAACTTTAAATAAATTAATAAACTTTAAGAGCATTACATCAAGTGTAAATATAAACCAACGACAATTATTAGAAAGTGAAATAATCCTGTGCACTATTTTTTATTTATTTATTTTTATTTCAGTCAGACTGATAGTGAATTTTAAAAGTTTCAATTTTACACCCAGTTTCAATGGTAATTCCATTTAATTTACATGAAAACATTCATTTTATATTCAACAAGATAAAAATAGAAATTATGAATTAAAACAATTATTAGTAAGTCGATTTTTTACCCATCTTTTAACAGATTAGATATTTTTGCAATGCAGTAGGAATATATATTTCCTACATAGGTAAATGAAATTAAAAATCATTTGTTTTTATTTATTTTTTACACATATATACCCCTCACATATATACCGCCCACCAGTGTATTTGCTGCCTCAGCAATGAGTATTATGTCAATGGCATGCTTGAGGGAGTTCAGTACCCATTGGTACCTCTCCCTGCCTTGTGGTTAGTTCAACAGATCACTCATCCAGTTTCTTTTGAGCCTCCCAAAGGCATTGTGCATCAGGCATATTGATTGTGGCCGTGTCTTAAATGAGTCAGTTTGTACGAGTAAGTTGTAGTAAAATATTGTGTAGTGTGTCGGTATGTGATCGCTAACTGTTGGTATGTTAAGTTCTTTGTGTAAAGTAGTGTTGCAGACGTAGCAGGGAGCTTTGGTTACAGTCGAATTTTCCCGAGTTTATACCGATCATGGAATAGTATAAGATGATATAGTCTGTGAGTATTATAATAGATTTTGATTTGTCTTGAAAAATAAAATTATAGTATATGAATTCTACATGTATATATTAAGTTAGTACGGGTCTAATATATTAAAGGTTCTATCTGTGTTGTGTTTCAGTAATACTTGGCTTTAATATTTTTTACAAAGCACATAGAACAAGCATACTATGCATTTTACAATTTGTTATTCAAAACAGATCAAACTTCACAATGAAAATGAAATTTAATAACTAACATAACAAAAAAAAAACTATAACTAAACAAGATAAGAATAGATTATTTTTATTAGCAACATCCTTCCCATAAATATCGTTAGCAGTGACTAAATGAAGGTACAAACTTTGAAGTAAATTGGAGTTAAAGCTTTTTGGTTCGAAGTAGTTCAATGGTATTTATTACCGAACATTGATATTTATACATTAATATAAATATTCAATAACGTCATTATTTATCTAAAACATCTGCAATGAAAATTTAACAACTTACAGCAAAAACCGAATGGGTTAGGTCTCAAAGAAAGCAACTTATTAAACTTTTAACTAAGAATTAAAACTTTTGTACAAATGTGTGTAATCGATTCATGCAGGTAGCTAGTTCCTTATCCGTATTGCTACAAATGGACAACGTTAAAAATATGGATTGTTGACAATTTGTTAAGGTTACTTAGGAAAGGATAGAAATTGAAATGACATCCGTCATCACGAGGGACCGGTTCCTTATGTAACTGCACTTTAAGTAAAGCGGTTACTTTTTAAGTACCGTTCCTAATATCCATCGCTAAACTAAACTTAAAGGTATCCTCCAAGTATCTTTTAGCATACTTTATACCCGGTTTATTTTGTTTTTAATGAAAATAGATAACACGTTATAAAAATCAAATTGAGTGATATCTACCCTTTTAATAATTATTTTAATATACACAAAAAAAGACGAATATCTAAATCCGTTGATAACACATTATGAAATACTATTATTAGTGGCTTTATGTCATTTATTCGGGATTTATCTGAACCATATTTGACCGGAAACTTCATTTTAGAAAACCTATTTTTTCACATTTAAATTAATTTTTAAAAACAATATAAACCTCAAATTTAATTTCAAATGCCTGAAAAAAAACAAGTTGTTCATTTTTTTTTTTCATGTTTATACTAGGAGAGAAACGTTTTATTTTATTTTGTAATTGATTGCTAACTTATATTACAATAAAACAAAAATTATGGTTGACCTATTTACCTTCCTTAACTCAATATCTCATGACCAGCTGGATTAACGTAGTTTTAAAAAGAATAAACTTTATTATGTAGTTTTTGTGATAATTAGATCTTTTTTTATAACAACATCATATAAAATGTAGCTGTGTATCTATCTATGCGCTTTTCATAACATAAAAGAATGTTTAGTTAAGTTTTCAATACTAAAAAAATCTCAGGCAATAATTAAATCGAAATCACAGGAGAAGCATTTTAACATAACATTATGCCTGCTACATTATATTTTATTTTTTCTTAGCTGTGGACAGCGATGAAGTGGCCGGCAATGCAGCCGAGGGCAGTTGGCCCTATGAATCGATAAACAACAGATAATGCTCAGTCCTATGTCAACATCTTCCTTATCAACAACACATCTAAATATATCCCTTCCTACAACAACGGCCCTAGGGAGTCCCTACACCGGCTTCATTCCAATTAGAATACAATCGATTAACCAACATTAGCAACCGGAGTTTCAGTTGATATTACTATAGGCGATTCCTTAATTTGCTTTGTTACTTACAATTACTTGCAAATAGAACCATATCAATAACGTCCATCATTTATCAGCTGACCCGGAGAACTTACATCAATTGGGAACTTGTGGACTAGGAATCGGTGGCCTTTGCGAAGGTGACAGCTGATATGATAAGGAAAGCTGGCGCCTCGTCTCTAACGGTGGCATAATACAAAACATTCGGATTTATCATTTACTATTAAAGCGAAATTAATTAAATAAGTTAATTAAATAAGACGGCTGGATGACAGAGACTCACCGTGGAGAAGCGGCTATATCGGAGAACACTGGTACCACGGCACAGCACAGCACTGGGGACCGGCGGCACTAGTCCAACCCAAAATAAAAAAAAATAAAAAAAAAACAAACGAAAAGGCAACGAGGAGAGGCCCGCAATGGTCGAGGATCGAACGGACTGTGGGAGGCGAGCGCTCCCGTGCGCAGGGCAGCGGGGGGGGGGGGGGGAGGAGGGCTCCCTACCAGTTCTGGGGAGGGGGCAGTCCGGAACATCCGGGGCCGGGGTATCGTGGAGGGCCTGTGCCGTCCATTGGAGGCAGCTCACCGGCCGAAGCAATCCAAAATGGAAACATGATGTTTTTTATCATAAATCCAAATATGTTTATGTGAACGATCACAATAAATTATCTTTTCATATTAGGAAGTACATAGCTACTAAATGTAAATGTGTTTGTTGGCAACAACAAACTTATCTCTAACATTATTTTTTCTTTTTCATTTTTTTATCTTTTTGGCTTCAAGTACCATATAAACATTACAATTACATATAGGATATACATTACTCCATCAGTAATTAGCATTAAAAAAATAATATGAGAAGGAGTTAGTCGGGGGTGTGGTCAAATAAATACTAAATTAAAATATAGTAATTATTTTATTTTAATTTTGCCGACGTTTCGACCCACTTTGCAGGTTGTCTTCAGGGCGTAGGATGTAGCACTGCGGGATGCAGTTGAAACCCAGTGTTATCAGTGTTTCAACTGTCTCCCGCAGTGCTACATCCTACGCCCTGAAGACGACCTGCAAAGTGGGTCGAAACGTCGGCAAAATTAAAATAAAATAATTACTATATTTTAATTTAGTATTTATTTGACCACACCTCCGACTAACTCCTTCTCATATTATATCAACGGTCAACCATCTCTACATCATTAAAAAAATAATAATCTTCTTTTTTCTGGGAAGTTGTATGTTATTCTTTGTTATTTGATGACTTCCAATTAAACAACAATTGAATTCATTTGTGTATTTCCAAATTACATGTTAACGTTTCGGGATATTTACTCCCATATTCAGAACTACAATCCCAATGTTTTTTTGTTGATACATTGAGTTGAGGCTTAAATCTAATGTGCTCCATTGTCAGGTTCTAAATTCATGTTATAATAAATTAAGGTATATAATATCCAGAGCAACATCGCGCTTTGAGACCAATTATTGGATGTCTGCCATGGTGAATACAAGTGTGACCAATAATTGGCCTAAAAGCATGATGTTGCTCTTGATATTATATACCTTAATTTATTTATTTAAGTTATTTAAGTTTATGTATTTAGAACCTGACAATGGAAATATCCCGAAATGTTAACATGTAAACATGTAGTTTGGAAATACAACAAATTAATTCAATTGTTGTTTAATTGGAATCATCATTGCCAAATAATAATAAAATAAATTTTAAAAAACTCCCCAAAATTAAACTTTAACTAGTGAAATTTAAAATATTGGCAGAAAGGAAACATTGTATTTTAAAAAGAAACACAAACAATTCAAAAATTTTAACAAGATAATTCTTTGAAGAACTTTTACTCTTTTTATTGCATATATTTTTTAAAATATTATTACTTCTACTTACCTATCTAAAAAATATGTATCTAGTGAGAGAAAATCCGAATTTTAAACAAAAATATTGGTTATAAAATGCCCTAATAAAAGACGACATTGTAACACAGTCGTCAAGCCAGTGGTACTCTACGCAACAGAAACTTCTTATCTTCCCAGCCTAGAGAGCCTTCTGAAAATAGAAAGAAGAATTCTCAGAAGAATCTATGGACCTAGGAGAACAACTGAAGGATACAGGTTGAGGTCAAATGAAGAGATATATAAGGAAACAAAAGATTCAGAAACTGACACTAGAGTGGGAAGGCTGAGGATCTATGGCCATATGATGAGGATGAATCCTGAAAGACTTTACCATAAAATTTTTCAGCGAATCCACAGTAATAAAAATTTTATCGGGTATTTCAAACAGGTTAAGGATGATATGGACCAAGTGGGGCTAAGAGAGCAAGATTGTTTGGACAGAGATGAGTACAGGAAGGCGCTCAAGGAAATAATGGTTCTTGCGGGAAAGAAAAAATGCCCTGAGTCTAAAAATTTAATCTAACAAAATAGCGTGTATGAGTGTAAATAAATGACCTAGCTTAAAAATGATAAGTTGCACGAAACCGATATTACAAGTTTAAGATATGTAATTTTGTTAAAATTGAAATAGATTTAATAGATTTTGTTAAAAATGAATAATCAAAAGTGACAGTTTATACCATGGATTTTAATTTTTTTTTCATCAAAAATTCTGGCAGCTAATATAGCATCAGTAAGAGACACGCAGATATTTGGGTCAAAAGGTTTTATATAATCAAAACACCCGAAAGTTGCAGGTGAACTAATAACAATTTCAAACTTATCTCCTAAAGATAATTGATAAGGAAACCTCTAAGTTATTCTAAACCACTTGAATGAGTGAAAATAAATAATCAATTTATTACAATATCTCCTCCCTATTTGACAGACCACATATCAAATTCTCTCACGATATTTCCCTCGCCATATTTCACTCACCATATTTCCCTCACCCCAAAAAACTACCTCTGGAGAGTTAACATATTAGACAAGAAGACTAGTACAACTCAAAACGTAACTTTTTATATATTGGTACCTCGTTACTTTCACTTATCTATATTTGAAATATATAGTAAAGGAAAATATTGCAATCGTGAAAATTTTCTAATCTCATTTTTTAATGGAAATACACATTTTGAGGTCCCCTGAGTCCAAATAACTTAGTCCCGCAAAATGGTCTGTGTGTGTGTTTTAGCAGTCTAGCTCAAAAATGAAAAATCATAAGAAAGTGAAATTGCATATTAATAGTTTTTATATGCCTGAGATGTTACAGCAACTTTTTTGTTAAAATCGGCTAGCCAGAAGTGGCACTTTATATTATCAATGTAACACATTTGTTTTACGATTTTCTCGAAAATGGCTCTAACGATTTTGATTAAACTCATGATATCAGTATAAAATTAAGCATTTTTTTAATATAATATAGGTTTATTCTCATTGATGTTCTCTAACAGGGCTTAAATGGCTAATTTCCAATATTAATTATTTTTATTTGACACAATTAACCATTTTACATTGGTCTCTGTAATAAAAAATAGTTAAATATAAAATATGAAAGAATTTGATAATTAATTAAAGGAGAAATAACATATCGTAATGGAGAATATTTGTAATGAAGGAATCAAAGAAATACGAGCATGAGCTCTCCCAAAAGATTAGAACAGGCTTCCATACGTAACATGAGTTTAATATAATACTGACTCCGACAATATTATGTACATACACATATGAGGTTTTCGTAAATGCTATCATTGGTATTATTTAATATTTAATTGTATAGATTACACCGATATAAATATTAAAATTTTATATATATATATATATATATATATATATATATATATATATATATATATATATATATATATATATATATATATATATATATATATATATATTTATATGGGTACTTAAACAAATAAAAATACCAACAATGAAATATAAATAAATAAGGTGTCTATAATTTTTACTTTCACTTCCCATTTTTCTGAAAATACTAACTTCTGCTAAGAATAGGGTAGTAAGTGAAAGTTGTGTGATAAGCGCACCGCACCAGATTTTTAATATACAAATAGGTATAAGTGAACATATTTATGTATCACTACTTTAGAAGAAAGTCTGTATAAATAAAAAATTAAAATGTTTCCACTTTTGTACAATCACAATCAACATAATGATTATGATTACACAGGAGTTGAAAAAAATATTTTTTGAGAAATAACTGTCCTGTTCCAAGCTAGTGAATTAAAATGTTGATGTGTTGCAGCAGAATGGTACAAGAAGATGAAGAGGTCTTTGTGGATGCAGAGGTCTTTATGGGTTATGAAGCCTCCTCATCATAATGAATTAGGATGATCTTCACCAGTCGATTAGTTCTTTCTACGTTAGAGACTTAATGTTTTCTTTGAAATCCTCCAATGACGAACAAGTATTTCGTTTATCAAATGTTTAATTATATTTTAATATCTATGCATGCAAATTTATACTTTTCAACTAATTATTTTTTTAGTTTGACTTGTTTTATTTCATTCAATGTTTTAATAGTTAGTCTTATCATACTTCAAATAATTTAGGAGTAATAAGACAGGAAATAAAATAAAGGAACATTTTTAAAAATGTCATATAATTAAGTAATGGAATTCCAAAACCAGCCAAATCCAGTTTCAATTTGTTTTTATTATTATAGTAGCTTTTATACTATATTATCATGAGGCTAGTAATATAAATTTCATTGCTCAATTATTCATTTTTAATTTCTCATATTTTTCTTCTTTTTTGACTCATGGGTTTTGTTTTTAAATTTCTGCTTCTACATTTTAACTTAAATTTTAATGTTCACCATTCTAAGATTTTCTACTAACTTATCTTTTTTTATCTATTGTAAATTATAAGTACTCTATTGAATTTGTTATAATTAAAAATTTTCTATCATGTTATATATACACAAAATATTTTCTTAGATTTATTTATGGATTCTTGATATCTACCTTACTCTTGATATGAAATGTAAAAGAAAACATTGATATATATATAATATCACATGATTACACAAATATTTTTTAATGGTCTTCCGAAACCAGTCAAATCCAAGTTTTGACAGCCATATGCATGCCAATTTATTTTACTATTAATATCTAAGAACAGATATCAAAGTGACAGTAAGTAAAAAAAAAAGAAAAAAAAAAGATAACATCAGTTAGTTGTGCTGTCATAATACCAAACCTTTAGAAGGCAGTGGTCAAAGATATACCTAGCTGGTTTTAGAATTCTGTGCCTCAATTATTGTTGAATAATTATTTTACTGAATAACATAAAATTTTGCTTTTTATTGTGGTGATCCATTGAGATAAGCCATTGTCAAATGAAAAAAGGGGTAATGTTTTTTTCAAAAACTTATTAACTTACATACAAGTATGATCATAATAATAAGTACTAAAAAAAGCAGGAAACATTATTGTACGAGCAAAAGAACGAATATAATTAAATTTAACATAATGTGCTTGCATGAGCATAAACATAAACATAATTAAACTTAATATCATCTTACAAAAACAACTATTTTTAATTTAACCATTAATAAGCATGTATATAAAATTGTTGCTTTAGCATTAGCATTATATATTTATTATAATTCGAGAAAACTGAATTTACTTTGTTAGTATTTATAAGGCTTCTTCTTGTTTCTTCGATAGATAAAATGTTACCAACACCATCAATCTCTCTCTCTCCCCTTCCACTTTACATCCAATATAACAAAAACAAATAATGAAACCCAGCCATGGATATTTATGTATTACCTAAAAATCAAAACAATCGACTTCAATTCAGTAAAACAATTCTCTTTTATATTTTAAAATAGATCATAAATAACAAAAGGGTAAGAATTCAGAAGCGCTACTCCAACATGGCAGCAGTTTTAAGGATAACTTTGAACACACTGTAGATGGAATCTTGAGTCCTGACGATCTTCAACAAAAGATAAGGTGCACCAATGATATATTTTTGCATAAATTGTACTGAAAGCAATTCATTGAGCAAAAACTGAAAAAATTATTTTTTTCATTATGGTGGGCAACGAACTTAATTATAAATAATATATCAAACTATTATTATTAATTACATATTGTGGAGAAAAGGTTTTAAAATATATATTTAGTTTTGATTGCAACACTTCAATATAATTTAAGTGCTGGCACACCCAAAAATTATGCTTAATAATTCAAAAGATTACCGAGGATATTAAATTTCAGATGTAAAAGGAAAATTATAACTATCTCAATATTTGTTTCTTAGGAAGATATAAAAATTTCAAAAAACACATGGCAAAACAAAAATTTTGACAAGTTAATTCATGCTGTTATTTATATAAAAAGAAGTGAATGAAATGGTATCTTGTTAAGAAAGGTCCAAGATTAGAACAATAAGATTTTTCAGAGTTATCTTTACAGTGAGCTCAAGTGTACTCGAAACTACTTACCAACTTGGAATTACAATTCAGAACCAAATTGCAACCATGAAGGCGAACTCAAGCGACACTAGGTTGAAACTAACATTTTGTTTTGGGGTTTTATGTTTCTATAAACCTCCGATATAATTTACAAAATGTTTGAACGAAATAATTAGTTCAAAAATATAAATATATATTTTATATATATATATATATATATATATATATATATATATATTTTAAGGATTTTATCATAATGTTCTAATTTATGTCGGAAGACTAGGGAAAAAACAATATGTCAACTAAGTGCTGCATGAATACACCCTTATGCTACTAACTTATCATGGTAAAACAATAGTAAATTCTAAAGTGAAAAAGAATTACTATAATATGCTACATTCTCACTTACAAATGCATTCAAGATAGAAGCCACCATGTACATCAGATTTTTAGTAACTTAGGACATTTTTTCTAAAACCTTCATTGTAACAGTTTTAGTTTCCAAATATTCATGGAGAGCATCCTTTCCCCTGAAAATAAATAAATAAAAAACTAAAAATAGTTTTAACTTAGACATAATGGAAATGAAAGTATAATAAGTTCATTGAAGCTTACAGCTCACGGCCTTGACCAGACATCTTGAATCCACCAAAAGGTGTTTGAGGAACGACAGCGTCGTAGCAATTAATCCTTTACATGAAATAATAATATTATTATCAACAATTAAAAAACATTTCAATCTTATAAATAAAAGAAGTAAATTGTTAGCAGTCAGTTAAATTTTGTTATCAGTAGAGTAGGGATTGGATTTATTAGTAAAATAAAAGGCTAAATACTAACATGTATATGTAATTATATTTCCAGAACTATGTAGCAAAATATGAGAAATATCTAAGAAAAGAAATAGTGAAAGTAAATGAAACATGGAGAACAAGAGAGAATGACAACTGATCAAAAAAGAAAATGATGTAGGAAGTCAGGTAATGTACAAATATAATATAAGACATACTTATAAAGAAATGACGTGCAACTTAACAACATGGCACTCACCAAACTGATCTAGCTTGAACACGACACTTATTAAACGGATCAAGTTTGAATATAGCACTTACCAAACTGATCCAGCTTGAATATAGAACTTACCAAACTGATCCAGCTTGAACAGCGTGAGCAAATTTTGTTGCAACATCAATATTTTTCGTTAGTATCCCAGCAGCGAGACCGTACGTGGTTTTATTTGCTCGGTCAATGACTTCATCCAATGAACTAAATTTTAATATTTGTTGAACAGGTCCAAATATCTAGAATAAAGTAAATAAACTCTAACAGTACACTTCAAGCATGCGATCTAATAATAGCTCAAAAAGAGACATAAAAGTAATTAGACACATTATGAATGGAAAAATCTAAATCATAATGTAATTAATGCCTTGAGTATCAAAGATAGGGATGAACAGGTTATAACTGTCATTAAGGTTTTAATTAATCGTTAAGTCCTCAAGTCTCAGTCAAAGCAACAAAAATATATCACAGATTAAAGGGCAATTTAATATATAGTTGAGCTTCAACTAGAAGAGCAGATAATTTCAATGAAAATAGTTAATAAAATGTGAAAAAAGAATAGAATTTATTTTCATACCTCTTCCCTAGCAATCCTCATTCCATCAGTAACTCCAGAAAAAACAGTCGGGTAAACATAGTACCCTCGTAGATCTGTAGGTCTGCTGCCCCCAGCTTCGACTTTAGCACCTTCTGCTTTTCCACTTTCAATTAAACCGAGAATTTTGTTCAAAGCATCTTCATCGATCTGTAAAAGATATTAAATCAATAACACAAAATGCTATTTACTATATCATTTATGGTAGGAATAAAGAGATCCTTAACTGTGGTCCTTGTTGGACACCATCTTTGAATGGGTCTCCGACGACTCTAGCTTTAGCTTTTTCAGCAGCCTTCATCACAAACTGATCATATATTTTTTCATGAACAAATGTTCGAGAACCAGCACAGCAGTTTTGACCATGATTAGCGAATATTGCATTGTGAGCAATTTCAACAGCTTCATCAACTGCCAATAGATCACAATTAAGAGAGATGTACAATACAATTTATATGATTTATCAATAAATCAACATTAGAAAGATATACAACATATACATGTGAGCATAGACAGCTGAAGGTCAGTATATGCAACTTCCATCGCTCAACTGAAAAATCCTTTCTAAGAATCTTGAATTAATAGAAAATAAAATTCTGTACACTGAATGAAATTTCTGTATATCGAACGAAAAGAAACTTTTGAAAAAACTATAAAGTTTAATTGTCATAAAAAATGTTTTTTACTTCTTAGGAATAAGTAATAATTAAATAGGAAAAATACAGATTAATGAAGCAATGGAAGTTTAAGGAAGACTTTAACGTGTTAAAAAGAATGTCTTTTTGTCTCGTTGTGAACATGATTCCTTAAAGAAAATGTGATAAAGAAGTGTGAAAGATAAGTTTGACTCAATAAAAGAGATAAGACATGGGATGAAAAATAATAACGGGCAAAAAAATATAAAGTTGTGTGGTATCAACAATTAACAAAACTGATAGTTGAAAGGTTTGGAATTTTTAGATAAGAAATAAATAATTAATTATAAAAAAAACTTGTTTTTAGTATGACAAGAATAAAAAAATTTAATCTAACTACATATCAATTTTTTTTAAGGAACCTTCATGCTCAATATATAGAGGTTCAAATTTATAAAATATAACAAACAATCAGCTCATGATAATAATAATATGCAATCAGATCCTACATACAACAAATATAATATACTTAAATATTATTTTATTTTCAACATTACAAGACTTGAAGCAATGTAACTACTGCAATTACTAAAGAGGTTCTATTATACTGAATGATTTGAATAGAAAGGAAGAGGAACACTATTATTTACACCTCAATAAATATTGAATTGTCAATAAAATCATGGAAGATGGTTTTCTTAAAAACCATTCTGAAGATGGTTCACCCTCAGGTACATTAGTGTTGATGAGTTTTTATTTTGAAATAAGTTTCTTAAAAAGCACACACATTGAAAAATGTTGAGAAACTTAAAGAGGTACTTACTATCAACATCATGATAAACAACGAGCGGACTCTTTCCACCTAATTCAAGAGATATTCTTTTAAGATTAGAAGATGCGGCTGCTTTCATTATTATATGACCAACCTTTAACAAAACAGTCACAATTAGAATAAACTATTAATTTAAGTTATACATGCTAACTAATCTACTCAGAATAGCAATTGATATTCACCTCAGTCGAGCCCGTGAAGGCAACTTTAGAAATGGCTGGGTGATTAGCGATGGCAGCCCCCGCTGTTGGTCCGTAGCCGGGCAGTATGTTTACAACTCCGGCAGGAAAACCTGCCTGCAAATTTCTCATGAAATAAACTGAACAAACTTTAAAAGCAGTGTCTATTATTTAAAACGAAAAAAAATTACATCAATTACAACTACAATCAATGGGTTTTCGTTAGCTTTAAAAACCTTAAAATAAAATATGACCTTAAATATTTTGAAATAAACTGGACGATTGGGGGAAATGTGGCCATTTACTTTTCAGTAAATTACTTCATCCATGAGTCCGTTCTGATAACAATAGAAGTTAGCCTTTATCACAAATTAACCAATGATAAGAGAGGGTTGTTCTTACCTGGCTTTTAACTCTTTAGTACACGCACAGTCTTACCTCTATGAAAAATCTATTGAAATGTGTTACATCTTTTGCCAGATGATTCTGAACAAACATGCAGTGTTCCTATGGCAGCAATAGAGAGCTCAAATATAATAAAGGTTATCAATAAATTGTGCGGTAGCCCTCTAAGAGGATGGTTAGGGTCTTTGCAAGGCTGAGGCTCTTAGGCCATACAGAACAGTATTCGAGGCAGAAGCCAGATGATCAGCATTTTATCTCTGTATTTCCTCACTATTAAATATAAGGGTCACATATAAAACCATAGTTCCTATTCTAGGAGAATTTTCTCACTATAAATATTTGTGAATTATTTTTAAACATTATACATTAGCAAGTACCTGACGAATTAGATCAGCAAGGAACAAGGCAGAGAGAGGTGTCTGTTCGGCAGGTTTTAAAATAACAGTACAGCCAGCAGCGAGAGCAGGGCCTAACTTCCACGATACCATCAAAACAGGATAATTCCATGGTATGATTTGCCCGACCACACCAACAGGCTCTCTGCGGATGTATGTCATAAACTCACCATCTGAAAATAAGTTCTATCCATAAAGACAATCACTTTTTCATTATATTTAAAATGTTATTTGGAAATTTTAAATTTATTGGTAAAAATTCAAATCATGGAAGTTATTAAAGTAACATTCATTATATAATATTTAAATGTAAGATCTTTATTGTTTTTATTGAACTCATATAAGGTTTCTCAGACAGGGCTTATCACGCCTCTAGGAACAGTTATCAAGACAAGGAGATTCCAAATTTTTTGACCTGCGGGCCACATTAAAACCTTCACCAAGTCCTGCGGACCACATTGAGTTATCCATTAAGTACCATGGGCTATGGCTTGCGTTGATAAAAAATATCTTCTTCAATAAATGATACATAAGTGGTGAAATGAGCTTTCAAAGTGAATCAACTTGAATAATAAATGTTGTAGTAACCTCATAATTAAGTGATTAATTCATTAAATATCATATTTTTTAAATAGTTTTTAAAATTTTACCAAGTAATCCAAGAAACTTTTGTGAGCCATAGTTTGGAGACCCCTGATCTGGACTCATGGAGGGATTTTGGTTAAAAATGTCATATTGCTGTAAAATTAAATGGTCTTCGATATTAGTTAGGTCTAATCCTCACTGAAACACTGGAGGCACAATTTTTTACTGCCTCTCACAGTATCTTACAATGTAATTAGATGACGTGGCATGATAATAGGTAGATGATGTGGAGATTGTTGCCAGATCGCTTCCAGTACTGGCAGTCTAAAGCTAGAGGAGTTTGAGATGGAAGCAGCCGCGAGGTGTCTGTGCATAAATGAAACAAAGACTGCCTACATGAAGAGTAGCAGACGTCACCCTTAGCAGAACTGAGATCCTAAGCACCTTGGTTCTTTACCTTATTGACAGGCAGTAACAATGTCAAGACTGAAATTGGCGCTACAATAGCTGCGGGAAACCTACACAATTTAGCTCTTTAGTGGGTGCTTAAATTCCGTGGTGTGTCAAGGAAAGCACGAGAAGTGGTGTACAAGACCATGACATGCCCTGTGGTAACTCACTACAGTGAAACATGGACAATAACGGCCAAACATGAAAGAATTCTGGGAGTCTGGGAGAGGAAGACCCTGCTCAAGATAAATGGACTTTTGTGTGAGAGAGGAATCTGGAGAGTGAGATACAACCAGAAGCTAATCACATTATATGGAGAGCTTGGCATTGTCAAATTCATCAAGGCAACCCAAAGAAGATGGCTGGGCCATGTTGAGAGGATGCCGGAGGGCGTCAAGGAAAGTGCTGTATGGACAACCTGGAGGAGGAAGAAGGAGAGGCAGCCTAAAACTCTGATGGATAGATGACATAGAGGAGGATCTGAGAGGACTTGGTGTCAGGCAGTGGAGAGCTGCCGCAGCAGATTAAGTAGAGCGACAAAGAATCGTGGAGGAGGCCCAGGTCCCACGCGGACCATAGGATCGAAGAAGAAGAAAAATAATTCTCACTGAAACAGTCTAATGAGACTTATATACATGCCGAATTTTCAAAATTTCTTCCTTGAAAGAATTAGTTTTTTTTTGTTTTTTTATGATATATTATTGTTAGTTACACAGAACAGAAACATATAAACTATGAAAAATTTTTATAATTAACTAAATTTGAAAACAGAAGAAATATTTTCACAGCTTGAAAATAAATTTCCGAAAATAAGATTTAGTTGTATATGAAAATTAATATCTAAACTACACAGTCATTGAAGTTAATGGACTGGGACAAAAAATGGCAGAATTTCAGAGATTAGATGGATGTATCATAGATAAATGAATATGTTGTACCATCTAAAATTTTTACATTCACAAACATATCCATGGAAATATATAGTTCGAAGTAGAGTGGTAAGTGAAAGTTGTGTGATGTGTACACTACTCCAAAGTTTTAGATTAAATTTAACATAGATCGTAACATTATTCCATCAAACTTTATAGTAATGATATTATTATTAGCTTACATGAAACATGTAAATTGCTATGGCAAATATAATTCAATAGAAACAAAAACAGATTTCTTACAAATGAAACAGAAACCTTCATTAAGGTTATTTCAAGTAGGTTTGAAACCATCCTTAATTTTAGTTCAAATTAAATAAGCATTTGAACTAAAATTAATTTATGAGAAGGAGTTAGTCGAGGGTGCGGTCAGATAAATAAAAAAAATTAAAATATATTAATTATTTTAATTTTTGCCGATGTTTCGACCCACTTTGCAGGTCGTCTTCAGGGCGTAGGATGTGGCACTGCGGGAGGCAGTTGAAACACTGGCAGTGTCAAAAACTCTCAAGAGCTCAAAAACTCACGACTAACTCCTTCTCATATTATATCAACGGTCAACCATCTCTACATCATTATAAAATTAATTTAATACAATTATCATTTGACTTATTAAACAAAATACGTTACCAACATTTGGGGCCATATAACTTTGAGATTTTTCATTAATGCAACTAGATTTTAACTAAATAAATAAAATATTTACCAACAGGAACAGTTTTTCCATGAATTTTATCCGGCCAACCAGCATAATAACGAAAAACATCAACAGCACATGATAAATCAAAAACCGAATCAGAGTATGGTTTTCCGTTGTCCATAGTTTCAAGGGTAGCTAAGGTTTTTAAGTTATCTTCAATTAAGTCAGCCAGCTAAAAAACAATACAAAAAAGTTATGAGCTTTCTGAGGCATAATTAATTTAATTTTTTCGATATATATAAAGCTTAATTAAAATAGTCAAGAACTAACATTTACATTATAAATAATTAATTACATTAAACTACATTGTTAATATTTGTATTTTGATTATATAATTATTAGTGGTTATAATAAGTCAAAAGAATAGAGTAAGAAGTTAAGGAAGTAAATATCAATGCGATATTTCCTATTCTCAGAGAGTTGATGAAAGAAAAAATGGTATCAGAAGACATAAGTCATACGTTATTGACAACCTTGAATTCCAGAGCTAATACTCACTATTCTTCCTGATATCTCCGGAATCCGTTATTTTTTATGTTTCACTGATTTAGTCGTAGATCAAAAAAGGTAGGAAGACCAGTTAAGACCTTTTATTGTTGTTAATTACACAGATTGCTAGATGAGATCACATTCTGAACAAAAACATGATATATCATACAACAAGTTAATTCCAAAGCCAATAAAACATTTTCGATCAAAATTTGTCATTTTTGATCTTTCTACCTCTACGTGAACAGGCCAAAACTTAAATCTACAATGAATAATGTCCAATGATGTGTTCAATTCGCTTTAAGGTTTCAAAGTGAGCACAGTTTTAAAGATGCAAGAGAAAGGTTGATTCATGTAATTTTTAGATATATATAGGTATTTCTAAGTAATGTATAGTGATATGTAGGTAAGTTATTTCAGAATATGTAAGAAATAATTTTATGTAATGTATTTATATAATGTAAGAAATAATAAAAGTCAAAAACACACAAACAAATCTTTTTCATTTATTTTTTTAATTTCACTTACCTATGTATGTAATATATAGTAAGGGTAAGTATTGAGATCTTGAAAATTTTCACCTTATAAATTTACTGTAGTTCAGTTATTATAGATATGATATTATATTTAAAAAATTAGGTATCAATGTTTATTCCGAAAAATTGTCATGTAACTTTTTAGAAAATTAAATTAGTGAATAATTTGATGAATTTTCTCTTTGTGAAATTCCAACATTATCATGTCTTCCTCTAAAGTACCTTTGATTTGGTTTATTATAAATAATAACTATTTCTCATAGTAAGGAGTTATGAAAAAATACTAAATATAAATTTAGAAAGAATTTAATAATTGAATAAAGGAGAAAAAAAGAAAAATATTTATGCAGGCCGAAAATGAATATCCGGAAATAACAGTCAGAAGGTAGACATATTATATATCGTTGGAAAGCAGAGAATTAAAAAAAAAAAAGTTTATAATATAGAAAGTTGTAGAAGGAGAGTGACAAAAAATATATAAATAATAATTTCTAAAAACGAAGGATTATTTAACGCAAATCAGGTGTTTTAAGGAAATTAAATGAAATTTTCTTACTAAATGCAAAATTTTAAAAAAATTTTAAGATTAGAAAAGCATTTACAACCCATGGATTCAAGGCAATGACATTGTTTAAAATACTATTTCATTGCACTTGTGTGAAAGAAGAAGTGAAATATAAAAATATTTCATGGATACTTTATAACCTCAGATATATTTACTGTAGTTTGATAACTCTAGATCTGACATTATATTTAAATAATTAGGTATCTATCGTCGGTTTATTCTGAAAAATTATTATGTAACCTTTTAGAAAATTAAATTAATGAATAATTTGATAAATTTTCTCTTTGCAATATTCTAACAGAATCCACTCATAATCAGTGTGACAACTTTTGACCTGTCTACGACAGACCATGCAAATCTCTTAATTCTGTTCTAGTAAACTTTATAATGGAAAATAAAACAGTTTAATAACTAATAGTCTTACAATCCATAATCAATGGATTGTAAGACTATTAGTTATTAAACTGTTTTATTTTCCATTATAAAGTTAAAAAAGCAATTCAAAAATTTTAAAATAGCCCAACATGGCCAGAACATAATTTCTATTCAATGTTGAGTGTGAAAGTTGTGTGTTGCGCACCAGATTTTTTTTTGTTATAAGTTCATCTTCAGCTTTGAGCCAGTAATGTTTTCTAATTTCAAAATAAAACCTAATACCTACCAATATTAAATATCTTATTACCTAGTCTTAGGTGCATTGATGGTGGCGTTTTTCCTTGTGTTTTCATACATTTTATAATGGCTTAAAACAGTTTTCTGATTTTTCAGTTATCAGTTAATGGTTAAAAGTCTATTGAAACTTAAGTTATATGAAAATTACAAAAACAAAAATATTCTCTAGCAATTTCATTGGACCTCCAAGATGCTTATAACAAAGTTATCATAATTAAGTTAAAAGAAATTCTGGGAGGTTGATTAGAACTGGGAGGTTGATGTTTACAACCTCCCAGTTCTAATGACTAATTGGATCATTAATTACCTTTCATTTAGGAAATACCACTTGCAAAACATCCCAAGGAGAAGTTAAGGTTCACTCACATACAGGCTTACCCCAAGGGGATCCTTTATCTAAGTCCCATCCTATTCAATATTTATACACATTATATAGCCAAGCGTCCTCCTGATAAATGTAAAATTTTACAATATGCTGACGATTTAATACTGTATACACACTTAACATTCAAATTAACATATCAAAATGCAAAATCATCCCTTTCACAAAAAGAAGAAAATTAAACCTAACACAATTAATTATCCATACAAATAGAGGTGCAATAGAAGTCACGAGTACACTAAAGTTCCTTGGTGTTTATCTTGAGACGAAACTTTCTTTTAGAACACACATCCAAAAACACTCACAACAAAGCAGCCAAAACATTAAGCATTATAAAATCAATAAGAGGGGTAACTTGGGGAGCCCACCCGCATAACCTACTCGCCATTTACAAAACTATGACCATAATATACAATGAGTCTAGCTCACCATTAATAAAAAAGCTAGATAAAACACAAAACAATGTTCTTAGGTTATGTTTAGGATCATTCCGCACAAGCCCTACAAAGGCATTGCAAGCAGAACCTGGCAAATCTCCTCTTCAAATGAGAAGAAATTGGTTAGTAAAAAAATTCCTTTTAAAAGTGGCCTCAAACAGTTTCCACCTACTAAATCAAGCTCTTCGAAATGGCACCTTACACATTCCAAAAGTAGGTATCATAGTCCAAGAAACAAAACATCTATTTAACACACTTGCCATCAACCCTGGACCACTCGACCTATGTACTCCCATTCCAAAATCACAAATTATCATAAAAACCAATCCCAAACTATTCCAATCAGATTTGTCCAAAACACACGAACCACCATCAGTTCCAAAACAGAAAACACTGCAAATATTACCCTGAACGGAAATATAAAACACTTAAAAATGTTTTTTATTTATTTATTTTAAATGATATTTACAACTGTATACAAAAAAATACATCTAGTAAATTTGCACATTGGTATAAAGACATGGAACACATGTTGAGAAACTACCCATTGGTAGCACTCTAATAATATGTCTATATTAGAAGATCACGTGGCCATCTTCTTTTCAGACGCCTCGGAGGGTTATCAGGAATCGAATAGGAAGCAAGGTTAGAGACAAGAGGGTTGGGATGGTTATGAAGTTTATTATAGAAGGACAGATATCTGGATTGGGCCAAATCTGATACATAAGGAACATTAAGGTCATTATGGATAATTTTATTTGTAACAAAGTAAGGAGCATTGAGGATTTTGGATTGCAAGGACTGTATGCGAGAGGAATTTGAAGGCTTGGTGGAGCCCCATAGCTCAACCCCGTAAGTCCAAATAGGCCTTATTATAGTCATGTAAATCAGTCTTTTATAATTGATTGGAAGGTTAGAGCGTTTGTCTAGTAAGTGTTGAAGTAGTCGGAAACGTCGAGCGGTTTCTTGTCGTTTCAATCTGGTATGAGGATTCCAAGTTAGACGTTTGTCCAGATGGAGTCCTAGGTAACGGATTTGTTCAACAGGAATAAGTGAGGTGTTGTTAAAGGATACTGAAGGACAGGAAGTCATTGGTTTACGACGAAGGGTGAAGGTAATTTGATGGGATTTATTGGAATTTATTTTAATTCTCCAGTTCTGACACCATTCTTCAAGGTTTGTGATGTGGGATTGAAGGGTTTGGGATGCAATAGATGGGTCGTTATTGACTGATAGGATACATGTGTCATCAGCATATGTGGTGATGACAGAGTTGGGATGGGTTGGGATGTCAGCTGTATTAACTCTTAAAAATGTATACAAAAAAAAAAAGTTTCAGTCGGGATATATGATATCCAATATAACAGGATACTTCCATAAACCTCCCTACAAAGTTTAGCATATACAGGGTTGAATTATACAGTGTCGTTGAAACTTTCAAAAAAGCCAACAGAAAATAAAAGAATACAAAAGTCGTAATTCTAACTGATTCCGCTTCCGTAAGTAATTCACTGAAAAACATACATCGACAACATGTTTCATCGCACCTAATAAATGATATAATAGAAGAAGTTCATCACTCAACAAATAACAAATTTAAGGTTCAATGGGTTCCAGGTCATGTGGATTTGTATGAGAATGAACGAGCTGATATGATAGCAAAACGGGGTTCTAAAAGAATGGAAAATGCGAAACTGCCTTTACAGGAAATTTGTAGATGGGAGAAAAAACACTTTATTAGTGAATGGCAGGATAGGTATGCCTGGGAGTCAAGTTCGAAAGGTAAAGATCATTTCACTATCCAACTTAACGTCTCTCTACGCCCATGGTTCTCTAACACTTGTATTAAGTTAAGCAGAAAAGAAATGGTCTCACTTACAAGATTAAGAATTAACGATGGTCGAACAAATCGCGGCTTGACATTAATTAAAGTTGAAAAAATTACAAAGGTTCGACATGTAACTTCATCAAGGACCCATTGCACATTATTTTAAAATGAAAGAGATATGATAAATACCGAAAGAAATACCCCCTCATCCAAAACAATAGCACTTTCCTCCAAGGGCTGGCTCATCTAGATAGCGACACCATTAAGGCATTGTACAAATTTATTGAAGAATTCAAAATAGATTTTTTAAAATAAATAAATAATAATAATGAACATCTATATCTCCATTATATTTTAATACAATACAATAATAGTGGCAGTATAGGACTTCAGTGGGAATCTTGGGCCGACTTTATGAAAAAAAAAACTTTTAAGTTATAACAGTTTTAAGTCATTAGGATTTAGAAACCTTATACTGAAGTCCATTAAAATCTACATTAATAATAAAGAGAAGAATAGTTGGGGTGGTCAGTCAAAAAGGAAGGCAAAAAATAAATAATATTTTTTATTTTAAATTTTATTTTTTATTTTAATTTTTATTTAAAAAAAAAAGTAAAAAATAAATATTATCATTTATTTTTTGCCTTCCTTTTTGACTGACCACCCCAACTATTCTTCTCTTCATTATCCACGACATTCAACCAATTACCAATTATACATTAATAATAATTATTTAAATTTATTAAATAATACTGAAAATATATTCAATTTCAATATTGTAACCAAATCTAGTACTTATAAAACAAAGTTGTGAGAAATTCATGAACTATTTGCAAAGAAAAAAAAATCATCATTTGTTCGCTTCTGAAAAATTTCTTGAATGCACACATTATATCTCAATAAATTTATTGTTTAAAATAATAACCTTGTAAATAAGTTTCCCACGTGCTGAAGCATCCATAGTTCTCCATGGCGAACCTCTTGCAAATGCTTTGGTCGCAGCATAAACAGCATTGTCTACATCTTCCTTTCAACAAAGTAAAGAACCTTTTATTAATACATGAACCTCAAACGAGGATTAATGATGAGCATGTAACACAACCAAAAAAGTTACTATAAAACATACAACTGTATTATCAGAGACTCAAGCCATCAATTAGCTATCAAAGTTATACTAATATTTATTTAAACAAACAATTCAAAAAGAAAGAGCTCATGACATATAGATTTAAACCAGGCATGATCAAGAGTGATTAATAAAAGAGGCAATAAATGGAAAATGTAGATTAATTTGATATTCAAATATCAAAGCAAAGGCAGTGCAGTGATAACATCAGTACACAATATCACAATTTAGGACAGTAGTAAAAAATAATAAGCATCACCAAGTACAGTAATATAAACCAAATATTATATTGATTACCTTACAAAATTAAGATACACTTACTTTATCTGCTTCAGCAACATCAGCTAGCTTTTCTAGAGTAGCCGGGTTGTAAGTTGCAAATGTTTTGTTACTTACTGAGTTTATGAATTCATTGTTAATGAAGAGCTAAAAAAAAATACATATTAGTAAATAAGACAAACAAAAAATACAGATACAATATAAGTATCTAATGTTTAAAAATTAAACATTTGTTCTAAATAGGTAGTAAATGCAATCACCACCAACCTTATTGAATTTGATAATGCTTTCAGTCATGGTGTTTAATGAGTATAGAGAAATGCAATTAGGTTCTAAATGAAAAAGAGATAGAATTCACTTTAAATGTTCTCCAATGCCAGATATATTATCATAAGTGATAAGAAAAATCTTGTTAAATCTTTTAAAGATAGGGTGTTAAGCCGACTATCAGGATGATAAAAAAAATGCGACTTCTTAATAATGTTTGCTAAATTAAGAAAGGAAGCAATTCATCATACGACACAGGCATACGATTTTCTGTTGATTTAATTAATTTTTCTTATCTTAGGCTCTTGTGTTAATATCAAGGTCAAAGAAGGGCCCAAGATCGCTTCATCACACTGTTCCTGAAATCAGTGTTGCCGCCCTTCATGTCAAATCCTCGTACCTTAATTCTCCTTCACCCTGCTTGCTACCTGTGATCCTTGTCCAAAGTACAACCATTGTACAGCCAATGTTGTTTAATTAGTAAAAGTGCGTCAGAGTTCTATATATTAATTATTATTTTGCAAATTAACTGCTCAATCAAAACATTTTCTAATTTTTTTTAAGTTTATGGATCAAGCAGGAAAATGAGTTTAATTTAAAATACGAAACAAGTTCCATAAAGCCCACCTTGCATAGTCAATATTCTTGAATTTGAGATGCATATTGCACTTGTTACAATATATTCCTCAGACAGTCAATATATTTTATATTGACCATGTAAGGGCTCCTTAAAACACAGTAATGGATCCAGGATTTAATTTTGGGAGGGCTTGTTTTCATTTAATATAACGGTCATTATTGTAAAAGAAAAATAAATAAACTATATGAAAGTATGTATAAGTGGTCTTTGATGGCCTGTTAAAAAAAAATTACATGAATAATATTACTTTTAGGAATGTTTTTTTAAATATTTTTGTCTACACACGAGCTTACATTTACAAGTTTTATATGCGTTATAATTTAAAAAGAGTACACATATTGTAATAGTTTAATTATTTAACTCATATCACTCACAGGAACAAATAGGAACCTATGAAAAAATGATATGTATATTTATCTATTTTCCGGGGAGGCTTTCTATGGCTGGCGCTGGAAAGTGGTACGTATATGTATCTATAAACTATTGAATAACTTCCCATAAACATTAAATAGTGCAAAATAAACTTTTTAAAAAGCAAAAAATACTAATCATCCTTAAAACTAAAGTAAAAAAAATTATTAAGATTAATCGAAGTTGGAAAATACATAAATTTCATGAATTTTTGTTGACCATTAAAATTAGAAAAGCTTACAAGTTTTTAGCTTCTTATGAAATTTTGTACTAAAATTGCATCAAATCTTATCTCCGTACACTCACTCATTAGTATTTCACAAACATATTATTGACGATTATTTTTAAATACTTAAGATTATTTTCAAAAACATGGAGTGTTCAATTAAACAATCTCCTTTCTCCCAGAAATACCTGCTAATGCTTAATTAAAAACGTTTTTTTGGGAATAAATAAAATAATTTTTTATGAAATAGGAACTTTCAGCTAGAAATTTAAGGAAATAGCATAGCCATGGGAAGGGCCGTTGCCCCCCTCCCAAATAATTTGAAAGAAAATGGAACAACATAATGCAAAGGGTTTGCCAATAATTCGAGAAAATTAATTTTTAAAAGTTTTTGTTCTATGCATACATTGTATTTAGTACAAAAATATTTATAAATTATAATAATAATAAACTGTTCGGAAAAAGAAATTCCGTCTTGTCCTCCGGAATATCAAAGCTGGGTACGGCCCAGGACATAGTATCGGTAAAATGATTAAACTATTGGTGTAATCATGTTAGTACACACACCAAGTATTAATATTTCATAATATTAATATTAATTATTTTAAAAAAAAAATCATAATAAAGGCAGTTCAACGGACTGCAATAACTATAGACCCATCAGTCTGCTCTCTATAGGATAAATGGCACAGAATCAGAACCTTTCCCAATTGCGAGAGGAGTCAGACAGGGAGATAGTTTAAGCCCCCTCCTGTTTATAAACTTCATGGACGAGATCCATAAAATCTACAAGCGTCGGACTGCATGGACTACAATTGGAAAACGGAATATGAGAACTGTCCTCGTACAGAGCTATGCGGATGATATTGTGCTCATCGCCGATTCCAAGATGAAACTACAGCAAGCACTGGGAGAATGGGAAGAAGAGCTGCTGAGGAAAGGTATGCAAATAAATGCCTCCAAAAGTAAAGTGATGATTATGGCGAGAGAAGAGGAGGAAGACGTCCAATTGGTTTGCAACGGAGAAATTCTTGAGGTAGTAAAGGAGTACACATACTTAGGTACCATAATTACTACCGCTGGTAAGATAGATGCTGAGATTTCGTATAGAATACCTAAGGCGAATCAAGTATATCACCAGATCGCTAGCAGTATCCTCAGCTGCCGTGAAGTGGTAAAAATACCAAGATGCACGTCTATAAGTCTGTATACCTTCCTATTCTCACCTACGGCGGAGAAAGTTGGACTATGTTGGACAAACAGTATAGTCGCATAACAGCAGCGGAAATGCGATTCCTACGTAGATCGGTGGGCAAAACTAGGAGGGGTCGCATTAGAAATGAAACTATTAGAGAACAGCTGGAAGTGCCTGAACTCAAAACCGCCTTGGAGAACAGGCAATTATGGTGGTTTGGACATGTCTGCCGTATGAACGAGGACATCGACCCTATTAAGATATTAGAGGCTCGACCCACTGGGAAGAGGCCACGAGGGCGTCCCAGAGTCTCATATCAGGAGTTCATGGAAAGGATCGGAGGTAGAAGAGGCAAATCCTTCAACCAATAAAGCGGTTAAGCAGAGACTTGGAAGAGTGGCTGCGCTGGATAGAGGCTCATCGATGCTAGAAATGGCATTGTGAGGAAGACAAAGAAGAAGAAGAAGACATCAGTTTATATATATTTCAATAAAATATTCTCGTTGCTTTCTTTTCCGACATCTTAGCATCTGCTTCCAGGTAGTTTTTATTGGTGGAATTTTTAAATAGTTCATTTCATTTTTTTCCCCGTCATTATGATATCTCGTCATCTCATGTACCGTTAACAATTCAAGTTAATAACAATTCATAAACAAATAGGTATATATTCTACAAAACATTGTAAGAAAAATATCGATTTCAATATCATTACATTTCTGTTAGTCCAGCAAGCTGAATACCCGTTTTTTATGGGAATAATTTGATCATTCTACCTTATTCGTATTTTTTAGGTAGTTTACAAGTAAATTAAAAATATAATAATAAGAAAATTAAAAAATTTACATTGGTATAACAACAATTGACGCTGCCAGCCAACTCGTGTTATACATTGAATCGATCTGTTGTAGTATTGTATCGAATATTTAATAGCCTTCCTACACTGTTACTATTTCTCAGGTTTTGTTTATTACTCATTGTTTCACGTGGATTTCTGTTTCTGCTGCAATTTGTTTTGTTGATGTCATTTGTTCCAATCTCTGTTGAACATGTTAACCAAAAAGGTTTTTTACAAACAGAGCAAAAAAGGGACCATCTTAAAGGTTGGTTTTTTAAACTATCCTGTCTAATTCTGATTATAGCTTTTAACTTATCAAAATATATTTGTTATCCTCAGATTGTCAGAGAACATTATCTACGGAAAGACATATGGTGTGGCTGTAAAGGTTGTGTCAAATGTGCTCTTGAAGAAAAAGATATGATCTTAGATGCTTGTCCTGTTTCTAAGTGTTCTTTATTATCAGACCCACATTACATTTTCTTGGACACCAATGCTGTTTTAGACCAGGTAATGAATCAGTGGTAATAATGTAACTTGTAATGTTTGGGACAGAAATATCTGAAGTATTGTTTCTTAGAATAAGATAACATTAAAAATCTGGTGTGCGCAACACACAACATTCACTTGCTCTTTGTACTTTGTTCAACATTGAATATAAATTATTTTCTTGCCATGTCGGGCTATTATAATTTTTTTTAACTGAGCTAAAGCTAAAAGATTGCAGCTAACAAATTATAAATACTATTAAAATAACAAAAGTCCTATTTATTGTATCATCGGTTCATTATGGATTGTACAATTGGTTGATTATGGATTGTTCGGTCTGTTGATTATTGATTGTATGACGATTAGTTAAACTGTTATTTTCTGTTGCAAAGTTTATTAAAATGAAATTAAGAGATTTGCATTGTCTGTGATAGACAAGTCAAAAGTTGTCACACTAATTGTAAGTGGATTCTGCTGGAATATCGCAAAGGGAAAATTTATCAAATTATTCACTAATTTAATTTTCTAAAAGGTTACATGATGATTTTTTCGGAATTAACGGGCGATAGATAACTAAATATTAAAATATAATATCAGATCTAGAGTTATCAAACTAGAGTAAATATATCTGAGGTTATAAAGTATCCATGAAATATTTTAATATTTCACTTCTTCTTTCACACAAGTACAATGAAATAGTAGTGGTTACATTTGGAATATCACAAAGGGAAGATTCATCAAATTATTCACTAATTTAATCGATTTCGAGCTAGAATGTTCTCATACACATAGACCATTTTTCGGGACTTGGTTATTTGAACTCAGGGAACTTCAAAACGTGTATTTCCGCTGAAAACTAAGATTCAAAAATGTTCACGTTTGCAATACTTAAAAATTATTGCTTACTTACTATATATTACCTATATACGCAAGTGAAAGTAAAAATCTATACAAACGTATTCATTTTGTGATACTTTCCAACTATGGCTTCATGCACTCTTACTGACTTTCTGATATCGAAATGAGTTCCCTCCTGTCTTCAACGTTTTGGCCAAAATGATTTGCATCCTTATTGGGTTTCCAAAGCGTATTAGGAGGAAAATAATTTCTGTAGGAATTTAAGCTTAAAATTAATAATATGCAAATTTATCGATAAATACAATTGTTTTCGTCCTGTTAAGTGATAATTACTATCACTTAATTTTAAATTATGGTTAATAAGGTACTGTTATCTATGTGAGCACAACTTTTAAGGCTTACCTGAGAACTCTAGGTAGTCTAGAGGTAGGCAACTTAGAATGTAGTGTTTTTGTTGAGAATGGAGATGCTAATTCTATAATGAAATAATCTCATACAATTAATAAAAATAAAAGATATATACTTGAGTGTCTCTCCATTAAAACCCCATTGTTATTGTAGAAAATGGAGATTATTTTCAGGTTTTCACCTTATTTATTCTGAAACATTTGTTAAATTGGTTTCATATCAATCACTATGCTTTTTTAAAAAGTTGACAAAATTCTCACATTTGAAAAACGACAGCTGGATTAGAGAGATTTTTTTTTAAAATTAGTTATCAATGGAGGACAATTGGCAAGGTTAATTTCATAAGATATAAAAGCATATCTAACAGAAATCAGGAAAACGCATTAAGAATTTTAGTGTATTGTGGATATAGGCACAGGTTGGAGTCATTCTACATTTCACATGTATTTTTAACATAACATTACCAATTATAGGATAGATGTTCATTCTTATTGTTGTAAAAAGAATAGGAAATACCCTGGTATTACTGTAGAACCTTTAAAACAAGTCCTGCAAATTTATTTCCATGCACCATGCTCTAATACTTTCTTCAATTGTATAGTTAGTCACACAGATATCAAGATCTGATGAAATAACAATAAAAACCACCTTACTAACACTAAATAGCAGATCAAGTAATAAAATTTTTGAAACAAGAGAGTGAATTATCTGAGATTGTGACTAGTGACAAATCTATGTATTTGACAGACGATAATAATGTTAATTAATTGAAAGCAGGGGGATCCTGAAAAGTTTTATCCACAACATAATGAAAGACTTATTTTGTCATTACAACTGGGTAAAAACAATTAGGTAGCTGAGAAAAACAGGAATCTGGTGCTGATATTATAGATCATTCATTCATAAAACTGATTTCTGTTATAATAACTTTATAATGTACTTAATTTTAAAATCCTAAAAAGCCTGAGATTTTAGAATTTTCATCTATCTCATGGCTATTGATAAAGCTATGTAACGTAGCAAATATGACATTTATCTATAACAAATATTTTTGTCATAAGGGGAATGGATATTGTAAAAAATATGCAATATTAATATAAATCTTTAGCTAGGTTGTAAATTAAAAAAAGATACAGGTTTTTTTATCAAAAGTAAACAAAAAGAAATTTATGACTCAGAATGAAATTTCAGGCACTTGCCTATTATTGATGTCCAGTCTGCAGATGTTGATAAACAAAACATGTAAAATGAATTCAATAGTTGAATTCTATTAAAAGTCTATTAAATTTCCTGAAGTAGATAAATAAATAAAACAAATTCCATCTCTTTTTCAAATAAAAGAGAAGGAAAATACGACCGTAGCAATAGTGCTGTTCTAATCTTTTTTTTTATTGTTTTTCAGCTGGGCTTAATTTTGTTATTTTTATGTTGTTTCCATTTCTATTAATCAATCCCTCTACTTCAAGTTTAATCTTGAAATATTTGTTCATATTTGTATGGCGTTGGCATCAATTGCCCTGAGTTGAGTTTATCAGCTGACAGCTTTCAGATCCTTGATGTATGCCTGCATTTTTCCATCCTCTTTCATTCTCTCAAATTTTTCCACCTCTCCAACTTTTTTTGAAGCATTCCTATATTTATCAAGTGGTGCATGGCCAATTTCCTTTCTATTGTTATTGTATTGTGATGAAAAAGGTCCCTGATTGGTGAGGGACCGCAAATATTACTAATATGTGTCTTGTTATAATAATTTTGTTTTCTATTTAAGATTGATGCCATAGAAGATCCTTATTTGGAAAATATCATCATTCCTCAAACTGTATTAGATGAAGTTAAGCACAGGAGCTCTTCTGTATTCAAAAGACTTAAAGAAGTAATTTTTGACAAAAAGAGAAAAATATATGTTTTTGTAAATGAGCATCTTAAGTAAGTATTCCAACTTATCATTTCAATTTTTTAATTATTTCTGCCCTTGGAGTACGTTAAGTATGCCTATCAAATATTTAATACAAAAATAAGGATTCCTAATATTTTATAATGACAAAGGATCCATGGAATTTATAAATTTATCACTTGAAACTGAAATTTAAATACAGGAAACATTTGACATATATATTACTCCTCTAATTTCTAAGAATGTTTTCAATCTGAAAAACATTTCTCCTTTTTTTTTTTCTATTTTAGTAATTATCAATTTTTTCACTGCTTATATTTTATCTATTTTTATTGCTATTAACGAGAGACTGTTAATTATTTTGAACAAACAAAATTAAAGCTACTTCTGAGGAAGCCATTTTGAAAATTCTGCATTTAAGCTCTGTCAGACAATTTCTGTAATAATAAAAGCTAACTGATATTAAATTCCATTTAATTGTACTTTAATATAAATAGATTAATTGTACATTAAGATAACAAGTCTAATCATAATCATTAAAACCATTTTTGATAAATTGTGAAGCAGTGTAAAATTGTGCGCACACAAATGCACACTATTTTGTCAGTCTTACGTCATTTTGAGTCAGCAGACCTTAAAATTTGTATTTCTGTTGAATACTCAATTTCAAAATTTTTCAAGTCTTTACCTCAGCACTCTACTGAACAAAATTAAAGGATCATTTCATTATTTTAGTTTACAGAATTTTAATGGACATTTTTAAAAGTATTCTGTTTTTAAGTATGATAAACTAGTTTATTAAAAGAGAAAGTATATCAAAAGAGGAAGAAAAGAATTTTTTTATTTTTTATCTAACAAAAAAAAAGAAAGAAAGAAAAATGCATATTATTGAATAAAATGAAGAGAAAGTGTTTCTTCTTCTAGCCAGCATTCTCCTTTTCATTCCATCGACCGAGTTCCTTACATCTTCTTCCAGGATGTCATTCCATTCTTCCACTAAAATTCTTCTTAAATTGATTTTGGTTGTTACGAGTGCAGACACATCTCTCAAACATGCTCTATGGGGTTCATTTCCAGACCTCTGGGTGGCGAAGCCGTAACCTCGATCTCTTCTTGCTGGAGGTACCAGCCGAGCAAAATTGTCATGCATTATAATGAATTCATCTCTAGATTTCGAGCGAATAGTGTCATTTTAGCTCTATAATCTCTCTTTTGTACCTCAAAGTCATTATGGAGCCCCTATTCACAAGAATGAAATACCTAATGGAGTTTTTGTTTATGCCTCCACAAATATTATTGAACTTCCTTCATAACCAACCCTTGGAGAAAAATTGCAAGGAGCATACCTCTCACTCTTGTCTCCTCCACACTCTTTTGCGTCCATCTTGAGACTTTTGGCTGAATCTGGGTTCGTCGGTGAATAATTTATGCCTCCAGTTTTCCCGAGTCCAGTTTAGTTGTTTCCAAGCAAACCTCAAGTGCTGAACTCGGTGCTTCCTGGAAAGGAGAGTTCTAATATCTAGACAATGGGACACCAATCCATACTCGTTAACTCTTCTTCTCACTGTTCACTCTGAAATTTATACGCTCCTGGACCACTGGAGGAGACAACACTGGCTGGTTACTGTAGAATGATGATCTCGGAAAGCAAGAATTTATAAAAAGCTGTCTAGACAACCTTGCCTCGGCCTCCTAATATGCCCTACAGTTTCATGATACCTAATAATTGCCAAGGAAATCATAGATTGTGACTGCTGGATGCTGTGTGCAATGTTTCTTTATAAAAAACTTTCTGCCGTTAAAGTAAAAACATGGATAGATTCCTCTTTGGTCAATTCACTCCTATATGCCACCAAAATGTTCCAAATTACTTCACAAGCAAAATCTGTTGTCTAAGAAATGGTTTAAACACATTATTCAGATGTTCAAAATTAATGTATAACTGAAAGAAAGAGTCTGCAAAATGTGCTTCAATTATCTATTTAATCCCGAGGAGTGATTGCTGTTCACAGTTTGAGGATGCTATTGATGAAGGATCACACTGATTCCACTCTGGTACCAGAGCAATATTTATTGTTTTCATTATCAAAAAATTATTCCAAAATTTGTAGGTGACCCTTTAATTAATTTTATTCAGCAGTATAGTTGTTACATTAGCAGTTATTAGTTATTACATTGGCAGTTATTATTAGTTATTACAAGTATAGGAAAGTGAAAGTACAATGGGTTTTGTAAAGATTTATTGATATATTTAATAATTATATTGCTATAGTACATAATAGCAATTATGTAATTGCGGAAGAATTGAATAGTCTTGCAACATTAGAAACAAGTAATGATGAAGAAAATCAGTTAACAAGATTTTGAAATTCATAAATGGCTGGAGGCCGCAGGTTCCCTAACTGTGATATAAATGATTTAAAAATATTTTCACTTGATAATAGAAATCACTAAAGCCTCTTTAAAGTGAAATATTGACACTGCTCTATTTCCGTAATGTCAAGATGCAACTTAATTCCTGACATCAAATTAATATAATTATTGACTTCTCCATCAACACTTTTGGAGACAGCTCTGATGAAGGCCTGAACTTGAGGTCGAAACGTCGGCAAATGTCAAAATAAATATTTTCATTTATTTTTTCCTTCTTATTTGACTGATCACCCCAACTATTCTTCTCTTCATTATTCACGACAGTCAACCATTTACCCACAAATAATATAATTATTATTACATACACACATATATGGCGCGACCTCCTGTTACCGAGACTGGGCCTCCTCCAAGAGCCTCCGCCAGTTGGCTCAGTCTTCTGTTGCAGCTCTCCAATTCCGTACGCCAAGCAGAGTTCTTGCATCATAGGCCACGTTATCCAGCCATCTCACTCTCGTCCTTCCTACCCGTCTTGCGAGGTATATCTCCTCAATCATAATTTTTTGGGGCATTTCAAAGGCGCTATTTTCAAAGGTATTTGAAAGTATTAAAAGGTAGTTGGGTATTTTAAAGGGTATTCTGGCCACTTGCACTGCCCACCTTAGTCTCGCAAGTTTAATGTAGGTGACTACGTCAATGTCTGTATGAAGAGAACTGAGCTCCCTATTTTTTCTTTTCCTGCAGACATCACCCTCCTTTACTGGACCATAGGTCCTTCTGAGGACTCCTCGCTCGAACACACTCAGCTTCATCTTATCACCTTTCATCATCATCCAAGCCTCTGAACCATATGTCAAAACAGACCGTACAAGGGTCTTGTATATAATCAGTTTGGCCTTCTTTGAGAGATGTCTACTTCTAAAGGGTTGGCCAAATCCAAAGACACATCTATTTACAGCCGTGATCCTTCTCTGTATTTCTTGAACCGTCTAATTTTTGCTGTTTACTTCAGACCCAAGGTATATAAAGCTTTTTACTCTCTCAAACTTAGAAGAACCTACCTCAAATAGAGAGTTCAGATTCACCTCACCACCAACTCTTATATACTTAGTTTTCTTCTCGTTGACTTCTAGACCATGTTGTCTTGCAGCTGCAAACGCTTCTGTGTGTGAGAGCCCGTTGAAACCTTCCTGTTATATCAATATCATCAGCAAAACCAAGAAGCTATGTCAGGCGATTGAAGATTATGTCGCTTGAGGAAGCCCCTCTTACAGCTTCCTCCTCTGCCAAGTTAAATAATAGACAGGCGAGGGCATCCCTTGCCGAACCCCACTGCTCACTTTAAACTCTTCAGAGTCATCCATCAGAACCGACGCGAATTCTACATTTCGAGCTGTCCATGGCCATCTTGAATAGGCTTATGAGCTTCTGAGGGATGCTTAGCTCCTCCGAGGCACAGTATAGTTGTGTTCTATCAACGCTATCGTATGATAATTATTATTAGTATTAGGATTAAAATTAAAATTTATTAATTTTGTTAATCGAATCAAAATATTAATAGGTCAATGTAAATCTATCACATTTTTTTGTTTTACATATATTCTTCAAGTTATTATATTTATTTCAATATAAGAAATGTTGTTACCTTATATTTTATCGATCTTTAATTATAAAATTTATCTCTATAGATCGCAAGATTTTATCTTTAAATTTAACATATTGATACTGTTTCTTTTACCATTTAAACTTTATCTTAATAATATGTAAATTTATATTTATTTGGTATTCTTTATAGAGCAACTTATATTGAAAGGAGAGTTGGAGAGACTGTAAATGACAGAAATGATCGGGCGATAAGAAAAGCTGCAACTTGGTACCAGGAACACACCGGTGTCAAGTCAGTCTTGCTATCTGATGATATTGCTAATCGTGAAAAAGCTGTTGAAAAAGGAATTTTCGCATTTTCCTGTAAGCAATGGCATTTTGAGCTAACTGTATACATTTTATTTTAAAATAGAACTTCAGGAGAACTTGATTCAATTTTATGTTTTACCATTTATAAAATATTATTGAAATTGTTTTTGTTTTCTCATAGTGAGTGACTATGCTGAAGCTACTGACTCAGCAACGCTCAGCGAGAGGCTTTGTGCAAAAAGATGGAGCGAAAGGAGAGGTGAAGATTCGACGGACGTGTTCCCGGCCCACCTTCCCCCCGCAGCTGTTCATCACGGTCTGAAAGCTGGCCTTCTCCTGCAAGGGGTCTTCTATGCTTCCAAGGAAAACTGTCTAGAAGCTACTGTCATCACAGATAAACATAATGTACCTATTGTTCTATACCTATCAAAATATTAACATTTGCTTTTGAAATTACTAATTTTCATGAGGATGATAGACATAGATTTTACACCTAGTATATTATATCGTCGGCTCCATGTTCAAATAACGAATTTTAACCTACTCAACGTTCCACATTTGTTATTTTAACATGGTGCCCTGATGTAATATTGTTTTAATGTGTTTCAATAATGGTCTAAGTTGAAGACAAGAGTCTAAAAAATTGACTTACTTGAAATAGAATCTTGTACTCTATCTCAGCTCTGAAGAAGACCAATTAATTAGGGTGACATTAAAATTGTAATTAATTTACATTAACCACCCTCTTGGTTAATTTGTATTTATATCTTTGCGTTTTACTTCATCTTTCTCTTTTTGATTCTTAATATCAGGGTCTATATGAATGGGAGCATGTGATATTATTTATAGTTCCTACTTACTGTTATAAGTTAAGAACTTGATGAAAAAAAAAAAAAAAACTGCATTGACAATTGTTATTTCTTGGTTATAGTCAAATTTATTTATATTTTTGAGTTTCTCCTTTTTTAGATTGAAAATTATTCTGTAACATATTAATTTCACTCATATATATATTTTTTTACTTTAATTTTATTTCTCAGCCTTACTATGGTGTAACATTGAAAATTTAATAAAGGTATGATTTTATTATTTTGTAGGTATTAATCCAAGGAAGGGCGAGCTTGAACCGTGCGATCGATGGTGACACAGTTGCCGTTGAGTTGTTACCGAAAGAAGAGTGGGTTGCTCCGTCAAACCTTGTCATCGAATCAGGTTAGAAATTTGTTATTCCCTTGAACCATATTTTCAAAAGTTTATAAAATGATAAATAAATATAAAAAAAGTTTGGAAAATCGGTACATAACAATGAGAATAATTATGATGCTGCCTTTTGATACATTTTCAATTTAAAATTTATAATTGGCTTCTCTTATTCATGTTTTATATCAAATAACTTTTAACGAAGTTACTTCATAATACAATTTGATACCAATTCACAAAATTTTATTTTTTGAATTCCTAATTTTCTGTTTGTTGATGTATTCCCATTTGGTTTAATGTTTCAAATATAAATTGAAGACACTTTTATAATACTGGCTCGATTAATAATAAGTTTGTCAAACATATGGATATTGAAAAAAATAATTAAATAAATAGGTAAATTAGATATTTAAAAAATCTAGAATGAATTGATTGCATTCTCTCCTTAACTCAGGAAACAGCATCTGTATATCTAAAAAAATTTATTTTTGTTTAGACATCAATTACAGTGAGATCTCAGTAATAAGTTGTAGTAATTGCTATAAAGAAATATTCATCTTGCAGAGAATGTTAGGGAAAGCTGCGTATAGTAAAAGACTAAAGCAGACTAAATATATATAACTTTATTTGATGTGTATCTTTTCTTAAAAACTTTGAATTGAAAAATTCTCATTGAACATTCTTCGCTGTTTCCTATCAAATACAATGATACTCTGATTCTTCGTGCTTCACTGTCATTATATGAAAGAAGATGGGATATTCCCAAAATTTGTTTTTTGTTTTGTGGGTTTGGATTGCTGAGATTGCATTTTTTATGTATTGTATTATCTTGTTTGGTATAAAAAAAAAATTATATCACACTGAAAATATTACACTTACTGACAATGTACTTGAGAATAGATTTGTTGAGTTCTCAGAAGTAGATAGGTATGTGGGATTGGGATACAAAATCTGTTTTTGTTTTTTATTGAAATATTGTCCGTAAGGAATGTAATTCTTTTAAAAATTTGCAGAAGAGGCAGAGGATGAGGTGAAAGTCGAAAGGGAAATCAATGAAGAAGAGAGGCAAGTAACTGGAAAAATTGTCGCTATAATTCACAGGAAGTGGCAGCAGTATTGTGGAATTCTGCAGCTCTCTCCGATCAAAGGGGTATGTTACAGTTTACAACGTCTCTCAACTTAGACTAAATTTGTCAAAATTTATAACAAATTATTAAAAATCACAAATTATTAATAGCTAATCTGTGTTACGTTCCCTTCTGCTCATTAATAAAAATAAATAAAACGTCTATATTTCTCAGTTTATTGTAAATATCTTTATATAGATTAATTTTAATTTACTAGATCATTTAGTTTTGTTATTTTCATTAAAATCATTTACTTCCTACATTTATTTCACCTCATGTTGGCTAGTTGATGTATCAATCAATTACCATAATTAAGTCAAAGTAAATTAAGTTACCACAACTTAATTTTTGTTAAATAGACGTTTTTTAGGAATATTGCTTGCCCATTTGCTTTGATATACATTATAATAAATATAGCTTAATTAAAATAAAGTAAATAAATAATAATAAATGACTTAAAAAACAAAACAATAAATTAATAATATAGCTTAATTAAAATAAATATAACTTTGGCAGTTATCTTTATCGACAATTAGTTTTATTGTTTACTACACCTTCTTAAAATATTTAAGCTGTTATTTATATCTAACTTATATTGTCATTTTTCTTGTGAGTATTGGTTCACCTCCAAAATGTTCAGTCCGTAGACCATTTTATTGTTGCTACTATTTCTTTCAGTATTCTCATCTTTCCCATCATCTCTGTTGTGTATTTGTGTCCATGCAAGAATTTGTTGAATGAAAGATTGTAGATTAATTTCTAATACAAACAATACTATATTATGTATTACATGATATTTTGTTTCAATTTATATTTTCTTTTGATTTTCAGCATACTTATCACTTATTTGTTCCCGCAAAAAGGCACATCCCCAAAGTGAGAATTGAGACTAGGCAGGGAGAGAAGCTGGCCAGTCAAAGATTGGTTGTTGCGATTGACGGATGGCCTAGGCACTCTAGGCACCCACAGGTACTCATTATACATTATTTAGGTTAATTCAAAATTAAGTATGAGTATTTTTTGTGTGTAATGTGTATAAAAAATTATCTAATTATTGTTTGTTGTTGAGTGAGGGAAAAACATTTTTTCCAATCATTTTTTTTTATGATGTAGAGATGGTTGACCGTTGATATGATATGAGAAGGAATTAGTCGAGGGTGCGGTCAAAAAATAAAAAAATTAAAATATAAAAATAATTTTAATTTTTGCCGACGTTTCGACCCACTTTGCAGGTCGTCTTCAGGGCGTTGGATGTGGCACTGCGGGAGGCGGTTGAAACACTGGCCAGTGTTTCAACCGCCTCCCGCAGTGCCACATCCAACGCCCTGAAGACGACCTGCAAAGTGGGTCGAAACGTCGGCAAAAATTAAAATTATTTTTATATTTTAATTTTTTTATTTTTTGACCGCACCCTCGACTAATTCCTTCTCATTTTTTTTTATTTTCCAAAAGCTTCATTCTTCCAGTAAATTATAATGTGGGGAAAAAACATTACAACGTTATTGTAATTTTTTTTTCCCACATTCCAACACACTAAAAGGATACCAGTTTTTCATCCCAGATTCATTGAAACCATTAACTCTGTTTAAAAAAATAATAAATGACCTCTGATCCTTCTTAAATTAATTTTAATTTGTTCTTGTCTTCTTTCGCTATTGAAGAAATAAATTCACTGTTGATGAGTCCTATTCTCCTTTAGAAAAAAAAATCTACAATTGCTTAAACTCTATTCTAATATGATGATGAAGATGATACAGCTGTAGGAAGTATGAGTTGTGCCTTGATAAACTATTAACTATCCTTGCATCAATTTTATCAGCAATGTCATCCATTCTTTTTTTGTGACACCTTTGTCGCTTACTGTTCCTCTCTATCATCATAATTCTCTTAATGGAATAGGTTTAATTTAAAAATATAAGCATTACTGGAAGCTTGATAAATCATGTAAATATATTTTCTTAAATACATTTATGTAATATAATACATATCTATTTTATGTAAATTCATTTCCTTGTTTATGAAGTACATTGGAAAATATAACTATGCCTATATACTTTATTTCATATGTAGTATAGGTATACAAGTGCTTTAATAAAGCACAGCATAGAAAATATAAGGTGCAATTTTATTAAACATTTTAATCTAGAGTTTTAGATAGATATATCACTTATTAATCATAAAATATATAAAATTTGAAGTTGGATCTTATATCTGAATTGATCTTTTACTACATTATTTCATCATTTTGCTCTAAAATTCAAGTTCATTTAAACATAATTTTTTGAAGTATTCAAATTCTTTAAATGGGGAAAAATATTTAAACATACAATTGACAGATTTTTGTTTAAAAGTGAATTTACACCAGATATGACATCATTAATTAATGTATTAAGGATCTTTTTCAAATACTACTCTGATAAGTGACAATAACTTATAATAATTATATTTTATTTCATTCACACCAATTTGTTTTTTAAAAAATTTACATTTTGGTATAAATGCATCTTTTAGAGAGATAAATTGCTTTTTACTATTTACGCAGTTTCTCTTTAAGATAACTTCGAGATTAGCCTTTTAGAGGAAAATCTGAGGCAAGGAGCATTTATAGGATTTTACATATATTTTAGTGTAATAGGAAAGCTCAAAATTTGAATTTAAGCTAAAACTTGCCTACTTATAATTTTAAAATAGCTTACCTGTTATTGAATTTTTTATTCGAGCCTATTTTGATCCATTTTATTTTGTCAGCAGATTTAATACAGATGTTTGCTGTTTATGTTGATGTTTATGTTTTTGAAATAGGGACACTTTGTTCGAGCTCTAGGAAAAATTGGAGATAAGGAAACGGAGAATGAAGTTCTGCTTCTGGAACACGATATCCCTTGCTCCAAGTTTTCAGATGCGGTTTTGGCTGACTTGCCTAGTAACGACTGGACCATAACGCCTGAGGTAATTAATTTTTTTTCAGATTTGTATCTTTATCTTATAAATCAGTTTATCAATTTTTTAGTTTTACTTACCTATATATGTAATCTATAGTATGGGAAAGTATTGCGATCGTGAATCTGATTGCTCATTGCTTTCTTATCTCTGATGAATACTCCTAATGATATTTCCCTCAGCTATATTGTTAGTATTGTTGTTCCCTGAGCAATATTTAATATTATATTATTAGTATTGTTTTCTGAGAAGTATTTAATACTATATTGTTCTCACTCTAGCTCAACAAATTTATGGATTCTTTTTAATTGGTGCTATCACGTTTTTCCATTTGTAACCAATTAAATTTAATTTTTTCTGCAATTCTTGAAACTTATTTATTTCAATCGGTTTGTTTTAAAAGAAGACAAAGTGCCAATATTATAAATATATATATTATAGAGCGCCTTCTTCTTTTTCTGTAATCCCTACTTGAGTTAGAATTTTATCAGCAAGAGCAGGTAGGCTTGTAATGTTCCCACTTCGTTTTAAAATTTCTAATCTGTCTTTAGCCATTTTGTAAACATTGTCCACGGCTTGGCGTTTACCCTACAAACAAAAGTAGCTTATATATTATATGAAATTAAGGTTGTAAACATAAATATTTTGATTTCCTAATTATTCATTTTGTCAAGTAGAAATGTTACATTTTTATCATTGTGGGTAAATGGTTGACTGTCGTGAATAATGAAGAGAAGAATAGTTGGGGTGATCAGTCAAATAAGAAGGCAAAAATAAATATTACATTTTTATCATTGGAAATAATAGTGAGACATATTTAGAAATGAGATAAATAAATATTGATTGCTTCTAGTATTACATGTTATGAGTCTTATGAGTTTGGTTTCAATACTCTTTAATCATATATTACTAAGTAAATTATGAAATAGATAATATTTGGTACAGCAGGCTTCATAGCCTCAATATCCAGATACAGGTTGTCTCGTGAGCAGAGGGAAATAAATAATATTTGGTACAGCAGGCTTCGTAGCCTCAATATTCAGGGTGTCCCCTGTTTATGTGAGCAGAGAGAAGTTTTTAAAGGAGTGATAGCAGACCTCAAGAGCTACAACAAAATTCATATAAGCAATCTGCCAATTCTCAGCAGAAAAGTAGAAAATTGTTTTGTTAATTTAAGTAATTAACAATTATTTCACTGTAAACTAGATAGAATTTTCTTCAAACGCAAATAGAATTTGTCATGTTAAAATCATTTAAAAGAGGACTTTTGAGCTGCTAAACTTGACCTAGTTCTGTTTTTAAAAAAATCATTAATTATTGACAATTATTTTTTATCATTATTCAACAGTAGTAAAGATACCCCACTTTTAGAAAAACTTTTTCGTTTAATAAGCTTCAAGTTGATATTAATTGAATTGAGGTTTATTAAAATAATTCTTTAGATTCACCTGAAGTTGTGTATAGAAGTGATGTAAAATTCTATCCAATCACATAACACATAATAGTGCTTATGTTTTCAGCAAATATGACTAAAATTATCTGTTGCAAAGCTTTTATTTATTGCTTTTCCATGATCTTGGATTTATTTTATTAAATCTAATTGCCTAGATACACTTTTTATTTATAAATAAAAAAAAATAATAATAATGATTCTTTTAGTATTTTTTATGTTAAGTATTTATGAAACTGGTTTTTCTCCCACATCTCTGTCATAGTAATTGACCCATATTTATAAGAGACAAATTTAATGTTCTAGTCCTAAAATTTATGTTTAAAACATTAAAAAAACTGCTGATTGCTTCAATTATTTTCATAAAAACATAAACCTTAGGACTAGAAATATGAAATTTGTCACTTATAAATACGAATCAACTCCTTTAACAGAGATCTGGAAGAAAAATATAATTTCGTTAACACTTTACATGAAAAAGTATTTAACAAATCATTATTATTATTATTTTATTATAATATATCCCAGATCATGGAAAAACAAGAAAAAACAGTTTGCAGCAGTTAATTATAGTCATGTTTGCCTAAAACATGAGCACTAATAGTTGACTGGATAGAAGTTGACATTATTTAATAAAATAAAATTTTGAAGTTTTATAAAATATCTGTATATATCAGGAACTTCTTCCTTATTTGACTATAGCTCATCAGCAATGATAAATTTTCTCGTTTTTTGTTTTATTTTTATTATAACAAGTTATGTTCCACTGATGTTGATTAGGTGAAGGTACCTTTCATGAACCATCTAAATAGTTGTATCGTTAATTATTTCTTTTTTTTTTATTGACGTGATGGAAATGGATTTTTTTTTTTTTTTTTTTTTGTCATCGAAGAGCTAGAACTATTCAGCTATTGATAAAATATTAGAGAAAAAATTAGAGTTCACTAGTTGAATATCGATTTCAAAAAGGCTTATGATTCTATTGACTGCTAGAAACTGTATAATATTATAATCGAGCAGGGGATTCCAAAAAAATTAGTAAATCTGCTCAGGATGTGCTTGACAGAAACACTCAATAAAGTTAGAATCTGTAATAATTTATATGAAAAGTTTGAGGTTCGTTCAGGTTTCAAACAGGATGATTCCCTTCTGCCTCTCCTGTTCAATTTGGCATTAGAACATGCTATAATGTATAATATGGAGGTAATGTATACCCTAAATGATCGGATCTGGGTGGGACAACACTAGTGCTTGGCTATGCGCATGATCTGTTCCTGTTAAGCGAAGAGACAGAAACTATAAAACTAAGTACAACAATGTTAATGAAAGCCGGTAAAGAACTAGGGGTCAAAATAAACGAAGATAAGACAAAATATATGGTTAGCTGCAAAAATGGCGATATTGCTGGTGATATCGATATAGATGGTAATATGTTTGAACAGGTAGATAAATTTAGGTATCTAGGTTCTACGATAACTAGAAAAAACGGAATTGAAGAAGAGATTAAGGTCAGACTGAAGGCGGGAAATGCTTGTTATTTTTCTATGACAAGACTACTTAGCTAGCGCCTCTTGTCCTGGAATCTAGAATCTATAAAACCATTATCTTACGTACAGTTCTTTATGGATGCGAAACATGACCGCTTACATGAAGGGACGAGCAACGTCTTAAGGTTTTTGAAGATAAAGTATTGCGTAGAATATTCAGACTGAAAAAGGATGAGTTAACCGTAGATTCAGGCAGTTACACAACGCCGAATTGTGTGAACTGTATCTGGTTAATATTATTGAAGTGATTATATCGCGGTGAATCAAATCAGCTGGTAAAATTGTTGGGCTTAGTAATGAAAAAATTTCTAAAAAATTAATATTTGGTGTACCGAATGATAAACGTCCGAGGAGATGACCGAAGGCAAGGTGAAAAGATTGTGTTGAAGCCGATCTGAAGGGACTGGGTTTGGACGGCGAACGCTGGAGGGAGGTGTGTAATAAGCGATTGGTGGTGTCGGCATCGAACCTTCGGGTTCGCTAAGCCTGTTATTACTATTATGGAAGAGCTGGTACATATAGTAATGGTAATGTTTAGATGATAAATAATAAACTTACTACAATATTGTTGATGAATCCTTCTAGTGCATGTGGAGATGTCGTTTTCTTTGCTACGTGCCATCGTCTCAACAGTTCTTTATCATAAACAGCGACCACCAGCTCCATTTCTTGCAGTTCTTAATTCATAATTATTTAATGAAACGCGAGCATTAGTACCATAAATTAATTTAGTTGATTACAGTCAAGCTTTATAATGGTGATTAAAATTTAAAGTTATAATGTTATTTCCATTTTAGTGATTCCTCTACATTCTGTTGGCATAAAGAACATTATCCAACTAATAAGTATTTTTTCATACTGGTCATGGAAGCTTTTCGATCATTATGCTTTAGGTTGCTCAATAAACGTTCATTCCACTTTTAAGGATTGTCATAATTGTTTCTATGTCTCCTAAGGCAAGAAACAAGTGCAGAATACAGTCGTCAACAAAGGGGTTATAGAGTTTATGTAGGATGGACAAGCAATTGACATTTTCTCCTAAACTACTGGATCGATTTTTTTCAAATTTGGATTTAAAATTAGAGGTCACCCGAGGATGATCCTCCTTCATTGATATGTCTATCCGCCTTTTCCTTTCGAGATGGTGTCCGAAAAACCTTTGTTGCTATAGACTGTAGCGCCTAAACGTATGTACTGATTTCAATGAAACTTCGCTTAAGTCTTCTCGATGCCCTTAAATTTATCTATATAACATACTTCAACGAAAATAAGCTGGAAAAAAAGTTACGAGGGATGGTAAAATTAGATTCTGAATAACTCAATAAGTATAAACTTTTTTGTTGATGTTGTATTATGGTTGTTTAAAATTTTTTAAAAGTACGAAATTTCCTTAAAAAAAAAAAAAAAAAAACGTTAAAATCGGACAAATGGGTGCAAAGATGTGGTCTCTAGATATTTTTTAAGTTCTACTGCAAATCCTTTGTTTTGGATTTTGATTTTTGAAAGTGTTACTGAAGTAATTTTTTTTTTTTTTTTTTAGCATATTACTAATGAAGAGAAAAAAAATGTTTAGGCAAATAATTGGAATTAACTTTTTATTTCTTTTAATTCGTCACTAGACTGTTAATTTAGATGTATAATTTTTGGGAAATAATAAACCATTGTGAAATAATTTGCTGCTTTTTTCATATATCTAGAAAATGAGACATCTTAGACAAAACATTGTTGTATAGAAAAATAAAGCTGATAAAATTTCCTTTAAGAATATTTATATTTACTTCTTGTGTATCTTTTATAGTTTTCGAGATATTCACTAACTTAGATTGATTATTTTCAAAAAATATATTTTAGCCTCATGTTTTTTGAAAACTTGTCTTTTTTTAACATCACGTTTTTTTCTTTAAATGTATATATTATCAATTAGTTTATCTTTTATGAGTCCAAACTGATATAAACTTCAAATATTTTGATAAATTTCATCAATGCAGAGGAGAAAATGTAATTTTTTTTTT